GCTATAAAACAGGAGCAGGGAGATTTCAACAGGAAATGATCTGCCTTGGGTCACTTCAGGAATACAAATGACCTTTTTTCCCAACAGGAGGTGACATAGAAATTGAGTTCTGAATAGCACTGAAAATGTAGCAAAACAGCCCCCGTACCCTAAGAACATTTGTGATTTTTTTTCAATTGTGTGTGAAGCACCTGATGGCAGATTGGGACCCAGTGCTCCTCATTATTCAAAAGACTTATTCTCCCATGTTTGAGATCTTCTGCAAAACTCCTCCTCTCTGTCCTAGCACCAACATTTGATGGGAAGACATCATAAGTCCTTCTCATTGCCTGGTTCCAGGCTCTGGACTTGCCTTTCCTTACTATTTTCCCACAAGTAGGCAAAAGCCTTTTTATTATCTAGCAGGACTCTATTTTTTAAAAAAGGAAAAAATATGTGCTGGACAGTTATTTGCTGTTTTATTAACTTTATGAATTTTTAATTGCATCTTGACTTTTGTACCCTGTAAATTGAGTTCTATAGTAGTGACCCTTGTGGTCTCTTCCAACACTATGAGTCTATGTGACATTAGCCATAAAATACCATCACGTGTGATGTCTTTCAACCACAAGTGCAATTCTTCCTTCCTCTTTTTTTACTGACTGTTGGATAAATGAAAAGAAGGACTTCTTAATTTTATTGAGGGATCTCATAGTATTCTTGCACTTTATTCACCATTTATCTGTTCTTTCTCCATTAGTCCATATGAGTACTTCTCTAACTATTAGTAGATTGGAGTGGGAATCACACAGCCCTCTAGATGCTGTTGGTCTGCCCATTCCCAACATAACCAATAGTGAGGAATGTTGGGCGCTACATTTTTTAAAAGTCTAGAATAACACATCATTCCATCCATCAATAGATTACAGTTGTACATTAGCAATATTAAAACTGCATTAGCCACACCATGAACTCACTTTAAATATCTCTTCCCAAACATTATGAAACATGTGTAATCGACAAGACTGAGGTTAAGGAGTATGGAAAAGTAGATAAGAACACGTGAACTTCCAATGAAAGTAATAAACTACAATGATCTGCTGCTCAGGAGTGGCGAAAAGAGAAGTGATGCCTGTACTTTCTCTGTTCTTCCACGTGCTAAGTGTCACATAGCTGATATGTGAAGGGAACATATTATTAATTAACTAGCAATTCCCAGGTTGTAATAAGATGACTGTGAATATGTATATCATCTACTGATAGCCTAGTTAAAGTATAATGCAATAAACTGATAGGAGAATGAAACAGTACATATAGTCAGAGGCAACAAGGTAAATCATCACTACTGTTCCTGGGACTATCTACCTTGGTTCTGATATATGGAAGAAATCAAGGGAGCATAGAGGTATGTATTAATGCATAATTGTTGCTTAAGTTCAACTGTTGTCTAAGTAGCAAGTCAGCACATGTTTTACTGTGAATCAAACAACCACAGAATCTAAGAGTTGTGATGTGCCTTAACTTATTGTTTTAAAATAGCTGTTGAATGTGTGTGTGTGTGTGCATGTGTGTGAAAGAGACAATGATTTCTTTTTAGTTGTCAGTAATTATCCTCCATAGGAAAAAAGTTGGGCTCTTTCCTGCTATATTGTGTTTCTCCTCACTTTACAAAGTTATTGCTTATACTCTGAGTTTGCAGTGTAATATATTATCTATCCTTATAAAGCAGAAATCTTGCAAAAATGTGCTTGTTATGAACTAGGTTCTATATCTATACTACTTGTCTATAATGAAGAACTAGAATAAAATGAAGGGCTCATGAATGAATCTAAAATTTGACTACATTTCTTTGATGAAAAGTAATACATTTCAATAATGAGAGCAGAAAATACTCTAATAAGTGGTGTGTAGTCCAAGTATAGTCATTTGTGATGCAGTAACATCCTCACTGGAATGTGGTAAATGGTTGGATGCTCTAGAAGCTGATTCAGAAGCATTAAAGTATGGCTGCTTTATTAAGAAAAAACCCACATATATGAAGCATATTGGGCCTTGGGGGACTGTATTGTGAGATGGATTGTTACAGCAAATCCATGGGGTGGCTTACATGGGGCCAAGCCCGATCAACAGTTAAAAAGTAACACATTAAAATGCAAACAACAGTATAAAGCAACAACATTATAACAATATATAAAACAGGCATCCAAACCAACAACCAATAACAAATTCAATTTATCGTCATAGGTGGGCAGACAGGTGCAATGATAATTTAAAGGATAGGCTAGTAAGTAAAGTGTATAGCTCACGTGGCAGTATTAGGATAAGAACAATAGTAAAGTGCAAGGTCCGATTTTGGGTCCATTACAACAGTAGCACTGAAACCACATCTGATTTTGTCATGCCTTGGAGATCAACGGGAGCCCATCTAATGCCAAATTTCAGGTGAATTAAGTGAGCTCATATTCAAACAAGAGTTCAGGAATTGAGATAAAATGCAGTGATAAAACAAAAATGTATCACTCCTTTATAATCATCTCATTCTTTGAATGAATGCAGGGTGGATAATTATATAATGAGTCAAGAAAGATAATTCCCTTTTTAAAAGAAGATGCAGATTTTTGTAGAAATTACATGTGCAAATGTATAAGTTATAGATGCAGATTTACAGGGAAAATTACATCTCACCTGAATGAATTGTGATCAGTTGGTTATTGTCTATGATAAGTTTACAGCTTTGTTGGTTGTGTATTGCTGCTAATGCTTCATGGAAACCTGCATGGCACTTGTTCCCTTTAGTGTTTTTCATCTGTAGACTGACATGCACTGGACACAGTCTTTAAACTAGAAGACATATTTCAGTAAAGAAGTCCTTTGGACAGTAGAACACATGGTCAGCCTTTATGAATGTAGGAGGAAATTACAACAAAGGCATTATATAGATTTAGCTTTATATGCTATATTTCTATCATGGTTTGTTACTCATTAATTGTGTGTGACTCTTTAGCGTGAATGCACTATTTCACAACTGAACCAAAGACCAAATTGGAAATTAAAAGCAAAAAGAAAAATCATGATAAACATCCTGCACTGGAAAAAAGTCCAATTGTTTATACAGGACAATTTACACAAATACACTGTACAGTGACTGGAATTTTCACCACTTTAACTGATGTGGCTCAATGCTATTGAGTATTACTCCAATCCTGGGATTTGCAGTTAGATGAAGTACCAGCACTCTTTGGGAAGCAAGTTGAAAGCCTCTGCAAATCTACAATTACTGTGATACCATAACATGGCAGTGAAAGTGCTGTCAAACTCCATTAATTCTACAGTGTAAATTCACTCTAAGGCACTGATGGAATTTTGGAAAAATGTGTATTCTCAAATGTAACTTTAAACTTCAATTGCCTTTGTGCTACTCATTTGTTTACAACTTGGTGTTTTCCAAAGTTGCAGTTCTATAGCCTCCCACATAGGAGCCTGTCCCAATTAATTGGAAGGGACTTATTAGAGATGCACCTGTTTGGGATTGCACTGTGGCTCATTATTCAGAACTACCTGCACACTTTACTTACTGATTACCTTTTAACAACTAATTTGTGTCAGTCTCCTAAAACACAGTTGTCTATAGATAACATAGAATATGAAACCTTAACCTTCATTTCTCATGCAGGTATTTTTGAGTTCCTTTACTTCATTGCAAATATATTAAAACACTTCAGCAATTTTAAAAAAATAAAATTTAAACATCCCAACTGTTACTTTTTTGTCAATACAAACAAACAAAAACCTTGTTTCCACTGTAGTTCAGCAATCTAGTGAAATGTTTTTATCCCCATGACAAATTGAAACCCAACTGGTGTATTGATCTAAATGTTAGAGACTGGTTTAAATGATTTTTATTGTGAGTTGGAGTTAAACATTAATGGTACCATGTCGTTGTTTACACAAGATTGAACAGTTGGCTGAGGAACCCTAACACTTCAACAGTCAGCATTTGTCAAAGATGGGCACTGTTCCTAACTTTACTAAATATTCAGCTTCCCCAAGGATTTCTGCCAAGATGAGCAGCTGCTATATTTATTTCTTTAAAACCACAAGCTAAGAGATCAAATTTACAGTGTATTTTAATCCAGATTCTTGTTGGTTTCCTTGTACAAATGAATCCACTGTATATTTTTCAGGAACTTATTGGGCATATTGATTGGGACAATCAAAGCTTTTGTCTGGAGTATTTATTTTTCACAAGTGCAAAGTTTTTCATCCTGGAGGCATTGATCTTCGTCCACAAGACAGGTCTCCTTCTTCTTTTTTTTAAAGATACCTATGAACCTTGTTTTGTAGAATGTACAAAATGAATTAAATAGCTACAGCTATTTCCATCAACAGTATTAGTTCTACACCTGAAACACACCTAGCTGCCCTGAGTCCCCTTGGGGACAAAGGCCGGGTTAAAATATATTGTTGTTGTTGTTGTTGTTGTTGTTGTTTGAAACACAACAAGATGAGTCCACAGCAAACAAGATCACTCTGCTGGCTATTGTATTGGATCACATGTTGGACACTTCCCAAGCGTCTAGGACCGTGTGATGTATCAGAGAATAATGTGATCAGATCCTAATAGGGTGGCCTTTTGCAGCTGACAGATGGTAATTTTGTCAGTGCCGATTGAGTTTAAGTGCAGGCCAAGGTCTTTAGGCACTGCACCCAGTGTGCCAATCACCACTGGGAACACCTTTACTGGTTTGTGCCAGAGTCTTTGCAGTCGATATTTAAATCCTCGTATCGTGTCAGCTTTATTATTATTATTACTACTACTACTACTACTACTACTACTACTACTACTATAACACCTGTGGGGAGAAATGAAGAACAAAGCTTAATACTTTATTTAATCTTAAATGACGTTATATTTTAACAATTTGGTTCAAAGAGCACATGTTTGTAAGATAATGAGATTAAACTTGAATGTTTCTTCTTATGATTTTATTTTGTTTGCTTGTTTTACTCTTTCTGTTTAGATGGGTAAGAAGAAATTCAGTGGATTAGAAGTCACTCTGATCACTCTCTTCATTCTGGTGGCGATTGTGGCTTGTGCCTTGATTGGACTTCTTGCAACAGGTCATTCTGGTCTCAAAGGTAACGGCTCATAAAACTACAACTTTCCATGAGTCATATTTAGAGAACACCTTGAGTGAAATAAAAGAAGTATGTTTATAGAGTTTATAGGGCACTCGGACACAACACAAAACCCCTCAGAAAAGCCTTTAAAAAAGAAGGTAACTTACCCAGCCACCATTACTCTGCTGCCAGAGCTCTCCCAGAAAATAGAAATGACATGCTAGGAGAATGGGGGAAGAGGAAAATCACTCCTGCTCCACCCCCATTTCCTGGCACATCATTTCCATGTGCCAGGAGAGCTCTAGCAGCAGAATAATGGCAGCCGGGTAAGTTACTTTCTTTTTTAAAGGCTTTTTAAGGGGTTTTGGGAAGTAGTGGGAGCTGTTTTGGGTTTCTTAGGCTCCAGAAGCTGAAGAAACCCGAGACAGCTATGTAGATGGGCACCAAAAGTCACGTGGCATGATCCCCAGTCCCCATCTACACAGTGCTGGCAACTGGGAAGATCTGGGTCTTTCCAGCTGGCAAATAATTTCACAACAAAGCAGGTTTTTCCTGCTTTGTCCCGAAAGCATTTGTTTTTGCATGGAGTGTCAATTATGGGTATTACCACAGTTTATTAAAAATAGAGCAGCATATAGATTGAAAGTGCATTTTACTGTGCTATGTAAAGATAGGCGCATAGTGTCAGTTAAAATAAATAAAGATAATGCAAAAATATTTTCCATGTTTCTTATGGCTAAAATTACCTCTTCTCTGGATTTTGAGATCTCTCTTAAGGCCATTATTTTTTTTAAAGAAAAATTTATTGGATTTTCCAAAAGAAAAGAAACATTGTACATAAGTAATAAAAAGGGAAAGACCAGGAGGAGAAACAAGGATTTTAAAAAGTGTGTGTGTGTGTGTGTGGGGGGGAGGGTTTGATTTGAAAAGGGCATGCACATTTTTTTTGAAGAATAATAAAATACTCAAAAGAGTGTAAAAATGTTGCAACTTCCATTCTTGGTCTTTGCGGTTCTATATATTATTGTCCTCCCTCTCTTTGTACAGAGGGAAATTTCCATCCTTCTTTTTCCCTTGTTTTTTGAGCTAATATTGCCCCCTTTCCTTCTTATTGTGCTTTATTTATCTTCAATTTTTAAGTATTCTTCGAATAATTTCCAGTCTGTTTGTTTTATAAATCTTCCTGTGTTTTTTTAAGTTAATTTATCCATGTCTTTTATCTCTGATATTTTTTCTAACCACTGTTCTTTTGTTGGAATCTTCTCAATTTTCCAGTATTTTGCAAATACTATCCGTGCCGCTGTCGTGAGATAAGTTAATAAAATGTCCTCATTTTGGTCTAGCTCCAATTCTTTGTCAGTAATACCCAAAAGAAAATACTCCAGTTTCATTGGAACTTTCCTTTTTAAGATGTTTTGAGATTCTTCCTGTATCATTTCCCAATATCTGGCAGTTTCCTTACAAATCCACCACATGTGGAAAAAACTTCCTACATGTGATTCACATTTCCAGCAAGTATTCTGTTTGTCTTTATACATTAAGCCTAATTTCTGGAGGGTTACATACCAACAATGGAACATCTTCAGCCAATTTTCTTTAAGGGTCAATGAATAGGTGTATTTTAATTTCCTTGTCCATATTTGTTCCCTGCATCCTTATTTGTCCACCAATATTCTTGGCCCAATTGATCATGCAACATTCCAGAAGCTTGTTACATATTTTTGTTATGTTTTTCTTCTCTGTTTTTAACCATTTATCCCAGAATTCCTCTTTGTCATTGAAATCAATAATTTTGTCCTGCCATTATTTCTTTGCGATAAGAGCATAGAGGGTGTACTACGGTATAAGATCAGATTTCTTTTTTTTTTTTAAATGAATATATTACATCTGGTAATATTGGAATATTTTGTTCTTGCATATGAGAGTAATAACTCCATAGTTTCTACCCACTGCAGAGAAAATGCATATTTATATCACATAAATACCAGTTCTCACCAAACCATAGAAACCTATGTTAAAAGATTATTTTTAAAAATTGAAAGCAAGGGATGTAATTTCCAACAATACCTGATTTATGATCAGTATATTGTGTACTATCTCAGTAATCACTTATGTGGCTATCCTAGAAGTGTACCCTAAATCTTTATTGACAGGGATAATATTATTTGTGTTCAAGTATTCTGGTGAGCTAAAGAATAATGTAACAGAAATTACTTTGTCTATGGTTACACACATGGCTTCCATTTTACAGTTGTCCACACAGGATTATAAATCTCTTTATTGACCTCATCACATTGAGAAGGGAAAGCATTAGTAACTGTCCTTTGAACATAGAGAATCACTCCTCTTATATTATCAGTAGTACCCTTTCGAGTTCTACCTCCCCATCACACTCACATGTGGAAACTTAAGAGCTGACAATACAGTCATCTTACACCATCACAAAATCAGTATTACTTTTACTTTACAATAAAAGCTGAAAACCAAGAGATCCCTTGCCCTGCCCAAAGCCCCTTACAGTAAAGAAGACTGACACCAGTTTGAAACTACTTCTTTCCATGAGATAAAATTGTTCTCCCTCAAACCCCATAGGATACAAGAGAAAGTGATCCAGGTTAAAAACATTGCTTTCCATGGGACCGTATGGTCCTGCATCAAATCCCATAGGATACAAGAGACTGCTGATGGTTGGACAATGAAACAACCATCCCACCTGTTTTTCAGTTGGAACCATGGGAGCAAAGCAGGATAAGATATAGGAGCTCTGAACACTATTGCTGACCCATGTTCAGAGTTCCCTCCTTTCAGGACATTTTTGCCTCTTTTTAACCCTGGAACATGTGATGAGTTCTGTGCCTCTCCATGCTTGAAAAGAGACTGAAGTGTTCTATGAAGGGGAAATTTTTCACTGTGATGAGGTCAGATTGCTGGAGTTCTGCCTCTTTTCAACCACAGACTATACATGATGGCTAGAAGTATTTTAACTCATGTGATGAGCTCAGTATCTCTCCATGCTTGAAAAGAGGCTGAAGTGTCCTACAACTAGGAAATTTCTCAATGTGATAAGGTCATATGCTTAAATCGGATAATGACAATATTGTTCTCCCAGTGTAGTTCATTCATAGCAACACATGTGATGGAACTTTCTTCCTGCCTTTGGTGTTTGCAGTGCAAGAGATATCATATGAAACCTTATTGGCATGGTATATTAACTTGAAACTGAATTTTTTGTACTGAAAATTGTGTACTTAATGTACTCTTAAATTACAGTTCTAATTTTGCTTAATATTTTTAACACTCTTCCATTGCAACCCATATGTCTTTTTTAAAAAATCAAAACAAAAAACCAAGCACTTCACTTTGGTAATATAATGTCCCATAATTTTCTTTTATAATTTGGTTTAGTTTTGAAACATGCTATTCAGTCCACACAGAACAAGATTGGAATGGAAAAGAAAGCAAAACAAGTGAACTCAATTATTATTTTTTAAAATATCGTTGCTGTGAATAAAATGTCTTAATACAAGCAATTTGTCTGAAGTGAGCTGTTAGGGAATCATTGTAAAATAAGTGGGTTTTGATAAAATGTTTCTTAAATGAGAGCATGCTGGTGCAGCCTAAATGCTCTGAGGGAGAGAAAAGCAAAATTAGTTACTGTGCAATTATTAAAAAAATAGTGGGTTTGTTTTTACAGTAAGTGACACGTTTGTGCTTTCAGCTATTGGCATAGCAGTGAGAACATGGAAATGTTAAAATTTAGGTTACTGTGCTTTGCTGAACAAAACCAAAAGAACATATATAAAAATGAAGATTAATTAAAATCATATTCTTTATTTATTACATTTTTAAAATTAATCTTCAAGCTAATATCAAATTTATAATTCAGTCATTTGAACTTGGAAAAGATATCTTCTTGTACTAAAGTAACACAATCTCACAGCTACAATGATCATTGGTCAAGAAATTCGAAGAATGTAGCTTTTCCAAACCCCCTCAATCAACCTGTCAGAGGAAACAAATACAACTGTTCCCATATACGACCCAACTATAAGAATTTTCATAAGAGTAGATAGTGGAATAAATAAAAGATATGATGTCAAAAATGTATTATTAAAACTAACTTTCAGTTATTGGTCCTACTTTTAGGAAGAGTGAGGTGCCCACTTCAGGCACCTGATGAATTTAGATGTCATTCAACCACTTCTTGGTCATTGGATTTATGATGTTTCTATTTTTACTGTCAGGGAAGCGAGAGGCACTGTTGGTTTTCTGTACATAAGTGTCAAAATAATTGGGCTGCCTTGGATTCTGATCCACTGCTGGGACACAACATTTTCTGGTTCACTAGGAACAAATTATTATAGGTCAACTCTGTATTCCCATATAGTCAGATGTGTAGAAATTCATTTTTGCTGGTTCTATCCATTGCCTGACTCCTTAGCTTTTTGCAGATAGTCAAAACAGAAATCATCTATAGTTCCTACATACATATGTAGAATATCAGTTAATGGGTTCATGGGTTCTCAATTTGTCATTTCTGCTACATGCTCTGAGTCTGCCTAGAGCTTGCAACCATTTAAAGATATGGCTGCTCATCACAACATAATTAAAGTTTGTTCTAGCTCATTGCCTGAAATTTATTAAAATGAATTCTTGATGTGAACATTGTTTTGTAAAGGCAGTTACAAGAGTTTAATATAATTTTTAATATGTAACAACAAAGGGGTATGTTATTGCGTTTAAATATATATTACTGTTGCTTACTCTGTTCTCCATATAGGTGTTATTTTTACTAGGTGTTACTATTACTGTTTTGGCCTTCAGTTGATAATTACTTGTTTTCTCATAGACTTTTCACCAACATGTCCCGCTGTACCATTCTCTGACCGAATAGACTGCATTTCAGATCAAGTGGCCACAAAGGTATGAAAAATCACAAATGATTACAGTAACTGGTGATTAATAATTTATTAGTAAGATTGCCTAAGGATATAATGTTGATTAGTTCCCTGCCATGCCTATATAGGGAAGAAAGAGAAGGCTGGTGACCATGGGGCTGAGGTGGTTTTGTGCATACTTATGGACACCAAAGGCAGGCTTTCTATAAGTCCAGTTGTTGTCCCCCTAAAAATCTTTCTGGGAGGGTTGTGCTAATTCATTCTTTACTGCAGACAAACATGACTCGCAAGCACTCTACTCACTATTATGATGGTTCAACTTCTGATCCATGATTCTTTCCCTTTCAACTGGATGAGTGTAAACAAATTGAAACTTGATCCAAGAGGCACCCCTTGACTCTGAAACTGCCTATCCAAGGAAGCCAGAATGGCCTTCTCTCTGTTGTCCTTTTGGCGACAGGCTAAAGTCTTTTTTTTTTTGGGGGGGGGGGGGGGGGGGGGGAGCTGGTTTCTAAAGAAAAAAGTTTTTAAGATCATGTTAGGGGCTGCTCTGGTTTTTAACTATTTTATAGATTTAATCTGAATTGTTTTAATACTAATTATGTTTAATGCTGTTTTAACATTTGTATATTTTATATTTTAAATTATATTGTAATACTTTTAATCATGAGTCACTTTGAATCACTGTATGAAAAGAGAAGGCAGGATATAAATAAACATAATAATAATAATAATAATAATAATAATAATAATAATAATAATAAATTTCATACAGTGATCCTATGTCCATCATTTTAAGGTGCAAGCATGCATATGTTCCCAAGGTATCACCAGAGTTAGTGACTTGGTGAAGCTAAGGACATTTGAACTGGATGAGTACACACATGAGAAACTCATATGGAACTCCTATTTGGGCCTTAATACATCTACACGTAGGGGTGAACTTTAATGTTCTGCTTCTGTTTCTTTCTCTCTGCCCCCTTCTACACTGCCATATAAAATCCAGATTATCTGCTTAGCACTGGACTATATGGCAGTGTAGACTCATATAATCCAGTTCTAATCAGATAATGTGGCTTATCTGCTTTGATGATGATGATGATAATGATGATGATGATAATCTTTATTTATATTCTGCCCTATCTCCTTGTGAGCACTTTGGGTGTTTTCCAACAAACAAAAAGCAAATATTCAATGCCAGTATCAAAGACAATTACTGTAAAAATCTAAACAAAAAATCACGAAAACTAAATTTAAATTTAAATCCCAGCCTAGCCAGAGTGTCATACCAATTCTTTTCCATTTTGTCTATTTTACAAATTCTATACCTTCTCTTCACTAAATACTTGGGAGCACAGAAAGGTTTAAGCTGTTTTTAAAAAGACAGTAAAAAGGGGGCCATATTGATCTCCTTGTGGAGGGAGTTCCAAAGGCCGAGGGTGACTGCTGAGAAGGTCCCCTCTCTCATTCCCATGGAGATGGGGGTGGGACCAAGAGCATGGCCTACTCTACTGATCAAAGACCCCGGGCAGGCTTAAAAGAAGATGTGATTTGCTAGATAGTCTGGGCTTGAACTGTTTAGGATTTTAAATGTAATAACCAGCACTGAATTTAGCCTGGAAGCAAACTGCTAAACAGTGGAGCTACCACAACATGGGAGTGGTTCACTCCCTGAACAGAGCTCCAGTTAGTAATCTGGCTGCTGATCTCTGTACCAGTTAAAGCTTCTGGAATATCTTCAAAGGCAGCCCTATGTAGAGCATGTTGCAATAATCCAAATGTGATGTGACTAAGGTGTGGACTACCATAGCCAGATCTGGTGTCTCAAGGTACAAGCACAGCTGGTGCACAAGTTTTAATTGTGAAAAGGTGCTCCTGGCCACCGCCAACACCTGAGGTTCCAGAGTCAATGGTGAATCCAGGATCACCTGTGACTTCAGGGGGGTGTAACCCCATCCAGCACAGGCTGTAACCCTATACCCTGATCTGTCTTATGACTGACCAGAAGCACCTCTGTTTTGTCAGGATTCAATTTCAATTTGTTAACCCTCATCCAGTCCATTACTGATGACAGGCACCGTTTTAGGATCAGGATGGCATCCTTGATTTTTGGTGGAAAGGAGTAATAGAGTTGAGTGTCATTTGTATAAATATGACACTGAACTCCAAAACTCTGGATGATCACACTCTGGTTTCATGTAGATATTGAAAAACATGGGGGACGAAATAGAGTCCTGTGAGACCCTATATAATCTGAATTGTATAACAGTGTAGAATGGGCCTGTATCTCCTCTCTCACAAACAGCAATTCCTTAAGATGAAAATGTGCTTATCTACAGTTCATGCAAACATACCCCAGCAATTTAAAACATAGGACATCCCTAGAAGCATTCTACACTATCAACATCTCTACATATTAGTGCCAGATCTATGACCATTATGTGCACCACACACACAAATCGTAACAGGATACATTGGGTGAACATTGTTAGCATGGAAAAGGGCTTGTACACACAGTGGGCCATGGCTGTACATATTTAGTGAACATGTAGCCAGGTCGGGTCCAAGAAACATGTCAAATGGATGGGTTTGTATGGTTCAATGTCCTTCATCTACTCTCACACTTGGAATTGCTATTGACCTCTGCTCAGCTAAACAAACCAGAAAGCAATTAGTGTTCTCTATCATTTATTTATATAGGTGAAAATTCTAGACCGGTTATTATTTAAGCCCTGATAAGAGTTTTTCTCAGCAGCAAATGCCCTCCTTCTAGTAATATTTGCCTTCATGAACTATTAATAAAGTTATTAGTGAAATTAGCTGTACTTGAGCTTTGACCTTTTCTCCCTCTTATCATTTTTATGAGAACTATTATCATCATAGTGTGGGTTTCATTGATTATTATGAATACTAATGTGCTATTGGGCATTTTTAGTTCCTTCTTTTCATTTTTGATAAAACTGATATTAGTTAATTTGTTTTGCAAAGGTCTATGCAGGGATAAGTTTAATTAATTTTAGCAAGTTTTTTTAGCACTGCAGCTAATGCATCTTTTCTTTAATGTTAATCATCAGTGTTATAAGTGCATTTCTCCAACTGGGCAAAGATATCCAAGCAAGTCTGTGAAGATATATCATAGCCTTGTGCAGCTATGGTCATTGCCCATTGTGACTATGATATTTCAGGAACTGTACTCCCACAAAAGAACTTTTACATTTCTGATTATATCTAGGGCACAAACATTTCCTTCTCACAGCTCCACCTCAAAAGGAGAAGAAAAGAGGGATGTGTATGTTAAATCTGTCACAATAATCTGTGCTTTGGCATGATGTCCAAATGCAGCCAGTATCACTGAACAAAACTTCATTCCTGATGAAAACCACATTTTTTTACAAATATATTCTGATGTATATGGAATAAATAGAGATATTATTTATCCCATTTCATTGTGGAACTAGCATTCAACAGAGTGCCCAGCATCCTAATTTTACTTCACATTATGCTCATAAAAGAACATTCTATGTAATTCTCATCATCCCCAGATAATAAAAAATGGCGGAAGTTGTCATTTTTGTCTAGAGACTCAAACTGGATAAAAGCCACCATGTTAAAAAATAGTTCTCCATCTATGGATTCAACACCCCTTTGAGACAAACAAGACTGATGTGTCCCTCAATAAAAATGAGTTTGACATATCAGTTCTGCTTCTTATCTAGGATTCTTTAAAAGATAATTGTTTGTGACAGATGTAAACAGCTTCTAGCATCTTAGATCCAGGCCCGTATCCAGGATTTTGATTTGGGGGGGGGGGCTGAGTGAAAGAGGGTCTACCCTAGCAAACCTTTTGTATCGTTACCCCAATACCCCCATGCGTATGAGATATATTGAGCATGGTGATCAGATCATGATATAAACATAACAGTTTAAATAATACCAGTAAGGCCTTTCCATAGACCAGCATGAGAATTTTTCTGAAGCCCCCAAAGCCCCCCCCCCCCCCGGGTTCATGTCTGCTTGGATTAAAATGTGAACAAGAGAATGTATGTATTTTACTGGCATTAGCTTCTGGAATATGACGTATTATTTTAATCTATATAAATAAAAATGTAATGTTCATTTGTGGGATTAACATAACTCAAAAACCACTGGATGAATTAACACCAAATTTGGACACAATACACCTATCAGGCCAATGAGTGACCATAACTCGTAAAAACACTGAAAAACACAGCAGAAGAGACATAAAAAGCCAAATAACAATAGATTACACTGCATGCACAAAACCACATATATACACAAACACACATATATATATATATATGTCGGCGGTATCCGGGAGGGCCTTTGCACAATTGAGACTTGTGCGCCAACTGCGACCGTACCTCGTGAAGGCTGATCTGGCCGGGGTGGTCACGCCTTGGTCACCTCTAGAATGGATTACTGCAATGCGCTCTACGTGGGGCTGCCCTTGAAGACGGCTCGGAAACTTCAATTGGTCCAGCGGGCAGCAGCCAGGATGCTAACTGGGGCTCATTATCAAGAGAGGTCTACCCCTCTGTTTAAGGAACTCCACTGGCTGCCATTTATTTTCCGAGCCCAATTCAAGGTGCAGGTGCTCACCTACAAAGCCCTGAACGGTTTGGGACCACCCTACCTGCGTGACCGCATCTCCATCTACGAACCCACACGCTCGCTCCGGTCATCTGGGGAGGCCCTGCTCGTGATCCCACCCACGTCGCAAGCGCGCTTGGTGGGGACACGGGACAGGGCCTTCTCTGTGGCGGCCCCCCGACTTTGGAATGCCCTTCCAAAAGATCTTCGACAGGCCCCTACTTTAGCAGTTTTCAGAAGGAACCTAAAAACTTGGCTGTTCCGATGTGCCTTCGCAGATTAGGAATCCCCATCCCAAGTCCTAGAAGCACTTTAGCACAACCAATGTTGCTGCACACCGCACTTTTAATCCTACGTTCCTCCTGCCATCTCAGCACTTTTAACCCTGTACCCCATTGCGCCGGCCGAACCAGTTTTAATAGTGTCTTGATGTATTGATGTATTGTCATTGTTGTTATTTTGCTTAATTGTTTAGGTTGTGTATTGTTATGCTATGTTTTGAGGCCTTGGCCTTTGTAAGCCGCATCGAGTCCTTCGGGAGATGCTAGGGGTACAAATAAAGTTAATAATAATAATAATAATAATAATAATAATAATAATAATAATAATATATACACATATACACAAGTATAGATACATACAAACACATATACACAGAGTAGGCCACACCAATGCATGGCAGGCGACAGCTAGTATGAATATATAACCATACTGCACATGATATGCATATGTATATATAATATATGTACAAACATAGAGTAGATTTTCATGAAATAGGACATAGAGGGAAATCAGTCATACATTTTCCTTCAATGCTTAATTCAATAAATACCATTCTTCCTTTTACAGGGTGACCCATATGTCTGATTTTCTCTAGAATGACTATAAGTTAATTTTATCATTACCACTACATCACTAATACTATTTTTAAAAAGTCTGAGAGAAGAGAAAGATTCCTTCAAGGGAAAATCAATGCTTATTTAGGCTGCTACCAGTAAATTAATGATCATTTGACATCATCATTATCTAACTTATTGTGAATAAAATGAAATTATATAAAATAAAATATGTTAAGACTGAACCACATAAATTCTTTTAGACCACAAATGTTCTACTCTTTGGCCATTTCCAAAATATATAGTGCCTTTCCTGTAGCAACACTTTCATTCAAAAAAACAAAAGAATATCAAAACTCTTTTTTTCTTTTGTCGTAGAAAAAGTTGGCATGATTCTACAAGAGTGTACATTCTTTTATCCATATTGATATAATAATTATAGGTGCTTCAAATAGAGTGGATAGGCATGTAAATCGGAGGTCCTTCCACAACACAAATGTAGCATAGTGATTCCACTTTAACTGCCATGGTTTCATCCTATGGAATACTAAAATTTACAGGTTTTTTGGTGGTGGTGGTGGTGGTGGGGGGGGTATTTAGAATGTTTGGACAGTGAGTTCTAGTGCCTTACAAACTACAAACTACAAAATTCTGCAGAATAAAGCCATGACAGTGAAAGTGGAATGATGCATGTGTAATGTGGAAAAACCACAGATTTCCATTAAGCTTCTAATGTGTTCAGAAATTTCAGAAACATTGTTCATGTTAATGTACTCTTTCCTTGTGGTAAGAAACCAGACTTCCAAGGAAACATCTTGGTAATTCAATATAAATGATAAAGCCCACAAATTTCTGTAAGGTTAATCATAATCGGTTTATACAAGTTTGGTTTCTGCATGGTTCTTGACTGATTTGGGAATTCCCCAATTTTTCTGGCATCTCCTTTTAAAAACCATTTTTGAGAAAAGGGAACAACTGTCAAATGGAAAGTTTGAGTGACCACTTAAACTTGAAAATCTCCCATTGTACAATCTGTTTAGACGTGGGGCAAGATAAATGTTTTAATTTCTTTTTAAATCATGTGCATAGCAACAAGTCTAATGTCAACATTTAAATCTGCAAATCTGGGGTGGGGAGTTCCAAGGACTTGGAGGCCATTTCCTAGCTCACAGAATAAAAAGGGGCCAAGAACATTGAAGAAGTCTTTGCTCCTCATGGTACTCTCCCAAGATGTAAGTGTTAGGGCTGTCCAAACACGGAAAAATTTGTTTCTAAACTCGATTCGTTTTTAGGGGTTTTTTGCGTTTCGTTATTTAAAAGAATTCCGAAATTTTCCTTAAAAAAAGTTCGATATTTACGAAATTTCGGAAATCATAAAACAATTACGAAACAATTACGAATCGATTACGAATCGATTCGTTAATGGCGGCCGCGATCGCGCAATACGCTAAAAAAACTTCTGAAGCTTCCCTCTCCCTCTGTTGTTGACTGTTGGTGTGATAATTATATTTTTTTTCACTGAGAAAACAAACAGCAACCCTAAAACTTGCACCAGACATGCGGAAATAATAACGAAACATTTACGAATCAATAACGAATCAATAACAAGTCAATTCCGAAACAATTACGAAACGAATTGGAAAAAATCGTTTCGTTTTTTAGTTGCTCCTGAATGGTTCAATATCGCTTCGTTATCAAAAAAATAACGAATTTTTAACGAATTGCGAAATTACGAAACGAAACCGCCCAGCCCTAGTAAGTGTAGATGAGTGAAAATAAATCTGGGAGATTCCTGACATTTTTCTACTTTCCCTTTAGTGACACACAAAAATTAAGCTAATCTGAGTCTATTTGGTGTGATAGTTGAATAAACCTTATCTGGAAATAAAAAATAAAAAATGTTCCAGAATCCAAAATCATCCCCATGAGTGGCTGATTTTATGACACCTTTGCTTTCTCACGGTTCAATATGCACAAACTTTATTTCAAACACAAAATTACTACAAATATTGTGCATTAAATTTTCATTGTACATTGTGTATATGGTATGTATGTTTGGTATCTATAGTAGAGTGCAGAGCTGTCGGTGCTATATATGAGCTTATAGTAGGAAGCAGGAGAGAAACTATGCAAGTGAGGTTAAAAAAGGCAAAGAGCTACTTTTATTGTTGCAGGTAATACGTTTCAGATAAAAGCATATATTTTCAAAAGAAAGTTACCTAACTTTAGTCAAAGAGTTTCTAATGCTGATTTTCATGTCTCTATAAGGTATCTTGAGGCAGGTTCCTATTCAAACAAAGGACTATAAAGACTTTTGAGAAGAAGAGTGGGGTGCATGCATGAAGCAATAAGAGATTAAGTTATATAGATCTAAAAAAAATGGAGGTGAAAACTAGACAGAAGGCAAGCACCACAGGGTTCCTTCTGCCCTAATTGCTCCAAAAGTTTGATGCTTTTTCACTTCCAACAAAGATTTAGATCCCAGCTACAAGATATCTCATTACAAATATGCAAGTATTCCAAAATCTGGAGGAAAAAAATCTGAAAACTTCTGGTTCGAAGCATTCCAAATAAGGAATACTCAACTTGCACCACCTCTAGCATCAGAGGTAACCTATCTCTGAATATTGTTCCCCAGTAACATCAATAAACATATGCTTCTGACTAGGTGCTTTTAATATGTGAATGCAACTAGAGGACTCAATAGATATTTGATTTGAACCCACTTTGTCTTTCTGTAAATGAGAATGAAGCAGTGTTCAGACTTCAGGTAAGGGTTAGGATACCTGGGAGTGACTTAGGACCTTTCCAGACAGGCCTTATGTCCCAGGATCTGATCCCAGGTTTTCTGTTTATCCCAGATTATCTGGCAGTGTGGACTCATATAATCAAGTTTAAATTAGAAAACCTGGGATCAGATCCTGGGATATAGGACCTGTCTGAAAGGACCCTTATTCCCCATGCCTAATGCACCTGGAAGCTGGTAGTGGAGGGCATTAATCAATAGCAAGTAAAAGCATAACACTTTTTTTGCAGACAATAGCATTTTTTTTCTTTTCTTCTCTTTCCATTTAGCCCATGTCTTTCTGAATGAGTCTGAACATAATTACCCTGGTGTAGCCATGAACTACAGTTTAATTGTTCTTGTTGCTCTTGTTGAACTAGAGTTAAGTTGTCATTGCTGTTATTATTTCTGCTGCTATTTATGCCTTAGAAATGGTATCCTATTCACAATATTATTGTATGGCAGCTTTTTTGTGAGTGCTAGTTCCACTCTGAAGAAGAGACATTTAATAACAATACATTTTGATGGAAGCTTCATATGGTCAAGTACTGTGTGCATACCATATCTTTTCAAATTTATCCATGATTATTTGAAGTTTGTGTAGGATAATGCAGAAGTCCTTGGTTTTCTATAAGAAGTTGATAGGACACAATTGAGGAATTGTATAAAACATGTCTGCATTAGAAATATATCAATTGATGGATTTAAATGGTGGTTTGAGTTTACTTTATCTGGTGAATGCTAGTATCCTCTGGCTTGTGGTGACTAAATGGAGAGGTGTAAAGAATTATTGACCCCACTATTGAAGATCAATGATAAATGTGTGCATAAAGAATTATATGATGGTTCTGAGAAATGACTGGAAGATCCTGAGGCTGTTTCCAAGCTGAGCAATTTCTTAAGATTACTGGCAATGGTAACCTATCAGGCTGTTTTTCACTGGTCGTATGGTTCATTCTTCACACAGCATTTTCAGGATCTATAAATGGTTAAAACATTGAACTGGTTATCTAGCTACTCAAGAAACAAAATGTAAGCACCCTATGCAAAAAGCCATATATACTGTCTCAAGCTATTAAAGAAAAGCTTGTGTGTGTATTGTTATATAATTAATTAACAGAAGTTCAGTACATGCAAATTGTATATTAAGAAGTAAATGTCAAATATGTATAAACTGAAAACAATGCTATATCTGGTATGTGGGTGTAATCTAGCCAATGAGAGGCTGGTCCCAAGCTTAACCAAAGGTTTACTTCCTCATCAAGGAAGGGGAGTCTGTATAGGAATTTCTGTGCTTAGCAGGGACTCCTTATGTTGCCATTAGCAAGTAGATGACTGCATTTCAAGTACTTGTGAAATATATGCTGTTATCCAAGTATTGGGTACTTTGATTATGCTTTTCCTGCATGGCAGGGGGTTGGAGTATATGGCCTCTTTCAACTCTGTTATTCTATGGATCTGTGTATTTTTATATTACTGCCCTTCCTGAATTAACTCTGCTTTTCTTATTCATGATATAAAGAGTCTCTGCACACTCCGTGGCTGCTGCTGGGATCCTCAGAATGAAACGTTCATCCCTTGGTGCTATTTTTCTAATAGTCATGGGTACAAAGCTGACGGAGGCCAAAAACAGACAAATACAGGTAGGAAAATAGTTTGCTCTGGATATAATACATATGCTTCTTAAATGTTATGAAAACCAGCAAAACTAGGTGGTGTAGCTGTTAAAAATGCATAATATGATCGGAAATGCAAAGCTTTCACCCATGATAGATAGCTAGATTAGCTAAAAGATACAATTTTGAAAATGTCTGAAGTGGTCTACTATCAAATTCCATTGCTTGAGCTCTGTTTCCCTTGAGGAACTTACTTTGTCCAAATTTATTTACATTTTGCTCAATCTTTCTTGCATTTATTATTTGCCATTACTTTATATTGGATTGGAGCTCTCAGCTGGTGAGTTGAACTGGAATGGAATTTTTATGCATTTCTGGATTTTGTTTTTTGACATACTTTCCCCTCAGAATTGGGATTATATCACAGCATTTCCCCATTAAATGCATTGTTTGTGCATTTCTTTTCAATTTGCCAAAGCGGTTCACATTTCATGTGTGCATACTGTTTCATACATACCTTACAATACCACTAAACTGTAATATGATATAAATTTGTAAGACAAGATGAATAGTGAGTCTTAAGGGATGCAAATCAATTGTTTTGGTCAAGTATTTAGAATTAAATGAAATTCTTTATTTCTACCATATTTCTCTTTTGACTTTAGTTTGGGAACATTAGGATGTTTTTAGTTCAAGGTATTGAAATCTATGCACCTATTGTAAAAAATTATGGAAGCACTTTAATCACTTTTCTTATTAAGGATTTGAAGTTAAACTAAAAAGATTGCCTGCACCATCCCTCTTTGGAGCTGATGTTGAAGAAGTTCTCCTCACTGCAGAATATCAGACAGCAAACCGCTTTCGGTTCAAGGTTAGATTATTTCTTAAAGCAGTAATCTTCAACTGGTGGGTCAGATCCAGCAACTTGATTTTGTTTGCGAAGGGGGAGGTCACTCAAACATTACTGATACCATATATGCATGTGGTAAAAATTGCATAACCCACGTTTGTCGTCATATGTGTATGTATTTCTTAAGGATGATAGAATATTTACACATGATGTGTGTATCACCTGAGATTTTCAGAGTAATCATATATTTTTAGGTATATAGATAAACATGTTAATCATTGTATGCAGAACTATAGTAGAAAATATATCTTAAGAATGAAATGTTCTGGACTGAGTATGCCAAAATACATAAAACAATATATTACAAATACATGAATAGCTTTGGATAGCCATCTTGAGAGAGCAGCTGGTGCACCTAAATCCAAGCAGCATTGATCACCTCTCCGTGGCTATGAGCTCCATAATTTTGACCTCCATATATATTTCCAAGATAAGATGTGATCTGGTGCCTTCGGGATATTTAGATCTCCCAGTATAAAGCAAGTTGATCAGGAAAAACCCTTTGAATTTATAATGAGATAATGAAATAAATAGAAACACAATGATTAGTGAATGAGTCAGAAGAATGCTCCATAAATTAGAAAAAGTGTGTGGATTGAACTACAGCAGGAGCGGGAAAATAAATAGAGAGCTTATGTATACAGTATCTAACCCGATTCATTATGTTCATTAAGTATGTAGCACAGTCAGAACTGATACAGGATACATCATGATAAGGGAAAGCTGATATACACAAAGCAGGGGTTAGCCCTGGGATCCCTATTCACTTCATTTTGTTTCATTTTTACAGATTACAGATCCTGCTCATAATAGATATGAAGTCCCACATGCCAATGTTAAACCTTTTGAAGGACCCAAAGCAAGCAATCCAAGCTACAGGGTTGAAATTACTGACAGTCCTTTCAGCATCCAAGTGATTAGGAATATCAATAATAAAGTTCTGTAAGTTAACAATTTCATTTAATTATAAGTAACACTGAGGCTAATTATTTCTCAGTTGCTATCAAGTTTCTGAAAGAGAGACCTTCAAGAACCGTGTATAGTAGGCCTGGGTAACAACGGAAAAATTTGTTTCTAAAATCGATTTGTATTTGGGGGGATTTTTTGTTTCGATATTTAAAATAATTACAAAATTTTCCTTTTAAAAAGTTCGATATTTACGAAATTTCGTAAATGGTAAAAAATTAACGAATCGATTTCCGAAACAATAACGAATCGATTCGTTAATGGCGGACGCGACCGCGAAATACACTAAAAAACCTCCAAAACCTTCTGAAGCTTCCCTCTCCCTCTGTTGTTGACTGTTGGTGTGATATTATAATTTTTTTTCACTAATTAAACCATAAAACTGGCCCAGACATGCGGAAATAATAACGAAACGACCTCAAAACAATAACGAAACGAATACAATATCGAAATACGAAGCATTTACAAAACGTTTTTGAAAATTCGTTTTTTTAATAATTGCTCCAGAATGGTTCGTTATCGTTTTGTAATTGAAAAAATTAACGAATTATTAACGAATTACGAATTAACGAAACGAAACCGCCCAGCCCTAGTGTATAGCTCTTCTCTGTTCTTGGGCCATGGCTTCCTTGATTGAATCAAACCACCTGCAATATGTTCTTCCCCCTTTCATGCTTTCTTCAGCTCCATTGCTGTAGTATTTGACTTTCACTATGCTAAGCATTATATTATTTATGGGTGAGTCACGTTGTTTCATGATGCATCCAAATTACCATAGCCTATTGTTGTTGTTTTAAGCTTCCAGGGAGAGTTCAAGCTTGATTTGTTCTTAGAAAGCTTTGTACTCTCCCCGAGTACAACATTTCAAATGAGTAGTTTATCTTCTTAAACTCATATATAGAATTCAGAAGTACTGTGGCATAAATTATTCTGACTTTGGTATTTGGTGATAACATCTTTACACCTGTTGATCTTATCTAATTATTTCATAGCTGCTCTACTGGTTCTAGTATGCATTGTCCTTACATCACAGTTGATTCAACTACTATAGAACAGATGTTTAAAACCATTGCAATAGCTGGATAACAGCTGTATCCTTCTTGTCCAATGACATTATAACATGAAAGGCTTAGTGTTTTGATAGACAATGGAGAAATTACTATTCTCTTGATGATCACCTATAATGTAAAATCAAATGGGAAGGGAGAAGAAACAGCGAAAGAGAGAGTTCAAAACACAACTGGTTGCTTTTGCAGTCATTGTTATAGTGACAGGTAAAAGAATTCAAGGTGATAGTACTGAAACAAGCTATGCATTTGGAGGCAAGTATAGAAAACGGTTAACCAAGTCAGAAAAAAAGCTTACATATAGCATCATTCGGAAATCAGGAGGACACTCTTAGTGCAAATGTACCATTATTTTCAAGAAGAATTAAATGAAAGCATTTCTTCTAAAAAAAGGCAGTTTTCAGTAGTTTTATCTGATTTTAAGAGAATAGAAGATGGTTTCAAATTCCGATCACTGCTCATAGAAAAGACACTCATCTTATTTCTGCTTTGATAGATATGATTGATTGGATACATTTTGTATTATTCGGTTGGGTGGATTTTATATTATTTATTCTGTATTAACTTTGGTTTGATGGGTGTTGTATTATTTCAAAATTACAAGCACTGCTTGGTAAAACTAACAGTGAAAGAAAAGAGAAAAATGTATGTAAACACAGTGTGTACTTTGAAATATCACTGAAGTCACTTTTGTTCTTCTACATAATATTATTTGTATCAATTTCCACATAATTTAAAGGAATTAGCCTCCCACAAGAAGCTATGGGCTAATTTAACTGTTAGGTCAAAATAGAATAGACCTCCTGGATAAACAGAATGTATTAATTCAACAATCTTAAATTGCTCCAGTCCTTACCACACATATATTTTAATTGAACAGACTTTTCATTGAAAAGTTTACAAACACTGAAGAAATGTTCAGAAAAATGCAGACATCTAAAAATTGAATGCATAAAGAAATATTTGTTCCAAAATGTGTGCAAATAGGCTGTAGACAATGACTGGATGTGTGAAAACAATGCCTAGAATCTGAAAAATGTTCACAAAATCTGCATTTTTCTAAATTATGGAGGAAAACATACAGCATTTGAGACACATGTGTCTAATTTTTTTTTAATTCTTCTACATCAGAAAAAGGTAAAAGTTTCAGTGTATCTGTACAGGCAGTACCTAACTTACTGACATCCAACTTCCATCCAGCTTGTGCTTAAGAACGGTGTGAGACAACAGTGAGAAAAAAAATCTCCCCTAGGAAACTCACTCCTAGAAGAGTTATTATAAGGGAAAGGTGTTTCTACTAAAGTTTTATAACCAATCCTTATTTCCACAGCAGCCACATTTTTCAAAATCCAATTCTCACAGGGACAGAATGTGAGGTGAAACCTTTCAAACAGGGACACAGAAAGCAAAAGAAATGTTACAGGGATGTTAATCCTTCTCTATGCTATCCAAAACTTGTGCATGTGTGTATCAGTTCCAACTTACAAACAAATACAACTTAACAACAAACCTACAGAACCTATGTTGTTTGTAACCTGGGAACTGTCTGTATATTAAATTATCTATGGTATTGTCAGTATAGGAATCAATTGTGTACATTCAGACTAGTTCTTGGGACAAAAATGGAAAGCTGCACATTTCCTAAATTGACCTGAAATCCTTCTTATTGCTCTTAATATTATAAACAAAAATATGCCCCTAACAAATGCCTAGAATCACAAGAAACTTATTATGTTAAAGATACCAAATGATGATATTTCCACGTAGAAATGTGTTGGAAAACACAGGGCTTGTATACATGGGCTCATTGTGCAGTTGCTCCTGGCTGTTTCTGTGACATTTTGCAATTTCCAATGGGGTAAACCAGATTAACATGGGTTCATTACATGTTAAGAAAAGATGGAAGATACTACAGAATTTGGCTCAAACCCTTCAACAATTTCATGGCTTTGTCATAGTGTGGGCACTAGAACTGGGTCTGTTTTGGAGTGGTCTGCTGCCCATATGTCCCATCAAAATTCTTCATTAATTTCCATTACAAGTGAAGAGTTTTTAAGAATATTATTTCCTTATTCATATATTTGCTTATATAGAAGTCTTCTGTGCAAAAACATGATGGCATTTTGTCACTGTTCCAACAGCTTTAACACCAGCATTGGACCACTTGTGTATGCCGACCAGTTCTTGCAACTCTCCATCAGACTGCCCAGTCAAAATGTTTATGGAATTGGAGAACATGTTCATAAACAGTATAGGCATGACTTTAACTGGAAAACATGGTCAATATTTACCCGGGATGCTGCACCTCTTGGAGTGAGTAACAAAATTGTATCATGCTATTAGCATGAAGCCATTTCATCTCAGTAGAATTGCATCTTCAACAAAAAAAATGTGAAATGTAATTCCATTATTTCCTATTTAAGAAGGAAATGATTATTACTAACAGAAACTATTAACAATGCTGACTCTAGCTTTTCCTCAAATAGGTTAATTTGATGAGAAAGCTGAATTTCAAGTATTTCCTAGGGAGGTGGGAAGGGAGAGAAAGAATGGCCTTTGTCATGCCCCAACAGAGGCTTTTATTATTTTCTTTGTTAACTCTCAGTTATTCCCTTAGTTAAAATAGGTTTAATTATTTTCTTTGGTTTTCTGTGGAAGGGAATCTTAGCTAGACCCTGTCCCTTTAAGCCACCCACCTCAAGGCAGAGATTGCAGTCTATTAGTCCTCCCCAGCATTGCTTTTGCAGCCATTTTAGTTATGGTGCCCAGAGTCTACAGGCTGTCACATTTTCCACATTTAAGGTTTAAGAAGCTCCAGTTTAAAGTTTTTATTGTGAGTTGCTGTGAGTTTTCCAGGCTGTCTAGCCATGTTCCAGAAACATTATTTCCTGACATTTCTCCCACATCTATGACAGGCACCCTCAGAGGTTGTGAGGTCTGTTGGAAAGTAGGCAAGTGGAGTTTATATATCTGTGGAATGTCCAGGGTGGGAGAAAAAACTCTTGTCTGTATGAGGCAAGTGTGAATGTTGTACTTGACCACCTTGATTAGCACTGAATGGCCTTGTAGCTTTAAAGCCGGCTGCTTACTGCCTGGGGAATCCTTTGTTAGGAGGTATGAGCTGGCTTTGATTGTTTCATGTCTGGAATTCCATTTTTTTAGTGTTACTCTTTATTTACTGTCATGAATTTTTAAATACTGGTAGTCAGATTTTGTTTATTTTCATGGTTTCCTTCTGTCTGTTGAAATTGTCCATAAGTTTGTTTATTCCAGTGGCTTCTCTGTGTAGTCTGGCATGGTGATTGTTAGAGTGGTCCAGCATTTCTATGCTTTCAAATAATATGCTGTGTCCAAGTTGGTTGATCAAGTACTCTGTTATGGCTGACTTCACTGGTTGCATTAGTCTGCAATGCGTTTCATGTTCCTTGATTTGTGTTTGGGAACAGCGTTTGATGGTCCCTGTGTAGACTTGTCCACAGCTGCAACCAAACCAACTTCTTTACGAAATGTGGTGTTTTGGGTGGTGGGTGTTTTGACAAATTTGTGTGACGGAGGGGTGGTTCAGGGGGTCAAAATCTGGTTGTAAGTAGGGATTTTATGAAACCATTACAATATATGACCCTCTTAAAAAGATTTTGCACAGCCCTACTGGACACCCTGTAGGAGTAAAGGGAATTATAGACAAGGAGAACAACATACATATATTAGAAAAGGGTTTCCTGGAATTCTTTCACACTTTTTTAAAATCCTGAGATATTCCATGAGTGCAATTTCAGGCAGCTTTTACAACAGAACTGGTACTGTTATGACCCTGCACATCTACATGGAAATCATGGTGTGCAGATGGTGCTGCATATGTTTAGGATGTAATTCTTCACTAATTTTGTTCCTGAATGAAGCAATACATAATTTAGCAATGTTCTTCCTGCTGAGATAAAGTCTTCAGAAACTGCAGGTTTTCAAAGACAATACACCATTTTAGGCTTATTTTTGCACAGTTTGGATGTGTAATTTTTTCATGGTAAACCACAATCTTTGTCTGAAAATAATTTTTCACAGAATCATTCCTGAGCTGCAAAAATTCTTATTTGTCCAGCTTTCTTCTACATCAGGGTCTCAAACTCTTGAGAAACACATTGTTTGACTATTTTTCAGATATTGTCTTATATCTCTGCATATGGTGTTCTTTCTACCAAGTGCTGATCAATCAGTCTGTTCTTGTGATGGGGTTCTACTGTGTTGTCAGGGACAAATGACATAACTTTTACCACCAGCTGGGACTTTCCAGCAACTCATTCCTTCAGGCTTCTAACATGGGCCACTTACAGTAGACCAGTGGTTCCCAACCTATGGTTCACCAGGTTTTTCAGACTCCAGGTCCCACAATTCCTAACCCTTGTTAAGCTGGTTGGGAAGTCTGGGAGTTGAAGTCCAAAAAAACAAAACCTGGAGGACCAAAGGTTGGAAACCACTTCCATAGACCATAGAAAACTTAGCTCCTCTGCTTTACTGTGCCAGAGGAAGTACAGTCTTAGGATGAACAGCTTATCTGTGGCTCTTCTTTCCTCATAGTATTTCATATGCTGTAGTCCTCCTTATTACACTGAATGGTGTTTGATGGTGGGACCCCACAAGTGAATATAGATGGCCAAGGCATGGTATCATGATTACCTTCTTTCAAACAAAGACCACGCAAGTTAGGGAATTCTGAGGGTAGTTGGAGAAATAATTTTTCCAAGCTGTGCATCATGTTAAGATAGCTTGTTACTCATCAATTGGAAGAAAAATATACAGCCTAGAGCACATGTGTCAAACATAAGTCGTGTAAGCCGATTCCAACCTGCCATATCATTTTATGTAGCCCATGATGCTTTCAATGCAAGGAAAACATGTTTATTTATACAGTCTTACAATTACAAATGGCCCCTTGAAGGTAACCATAAGGCTGGTGTGGCCCTTTGTGAACATCAGTTTGACATCCCTGGACTAGAGTGCTTCTATAGGAAATCTGATTTGCTATGTCTGTGAATTCAATTATGTTTGAGCGGAAGAACATTAAGTCATGTGAACCCCACTTGCACTCTATGCAGCTCACATTTAGGGTTACTAGTTTCTCATGAGTTAAGATAGGAACCAATAGTAAAATAATATAGTATTGATGTGAAAAAGGATCTTGTAGCACTTTAGAGACAAACTGCATGAACAAAGTTGGTAGCATAAGGTTTCGTAGGCTGTCTCCATATTGCTGAATTATTGCAGTTAAAGAATACATTAACTGTTCTGGGATTCGTGGTTTTGTGGGATATTTACCCTTTCTGTCAGAGAGCTCTGTTGCCACAACAAACTACAAATCCTAGGATAGCATAAGATGGATCCATGGCAGTTAAAGTGGTGTCAAACTGCTATAATTCAGCAGTAGGGATGGTCTGTATTTCTAAAGAAGCTTATGCTGCCAACTTTGTCTTTTTTTTTAGTCTCTGAAATGTTACAGTATTTATTTGAACACTGATATTCCAGACTAACATGGCTGTGTCTTTGATAAATGTGTTAAGTCATGTGTGTTAAATATACACTCCTAAGTATAACAAATGAGAATTCAAGGGTAGCTTTGTTTAAAAAAAAAGATTTGGGGCTTTTAATAATTGGATTTCATAGCTATGCACAATGTGACCATTAGAAATGTTTTTGAGGCAAACAGCCCCTTATACAACCTTATTTATTTATTTGGAAGTTTTCTATACCGGCCTTCTCACCTCAACGAGGGACTCAGGTCGGTTTACAACATATATGCAAATACAATAATATATAAGTACAACAGAGTGCAACATCATTACATATTAAAATAGTACAATAAAGTACAATAAAAACATCATCATCACAATTACCCAAGCCAAGTCGTCAATCCAGTCACAGTCATAGTCACAGTTCATCGTCCTCCTTCCTTGTGGACGGAGGTTATAGATTCAGTCCTCGAATGCCACATTCCAGAGCCAGGTCTTTAGTAGTTTCCTGAAAGTCAAATCTGTAAACAAGGAGACTAAGTCAAGACAAATATAACTTAGCTTGATGTATATTCATTTTTTGTAATAAAGTGACTATGGCATGACACTCCACAGTCAGTAGTTTCTAATTATCTGTTATTATTTTTCTAATTACTTGCATTCCTGTTATTAATTACAGCTGAAATAAACAGGTCTCATAAAACTGAATACAGTAAACTGATTGTCATGGTCCAAATTCAAGGACACCTATGTCAACTGACGTATACAGCCTCAATTCTTATAGCAGGCCAAGAACTCATGCTGTATTATCAGACTATTGTTATTGGTTAGTGTTAGGGATGGAGGTAATGGTGCAAAATGTTTATTTTAACTTATTCTGCTTTAGTTCTTTGATTACTGACTAATTGTGAAGATGTATAAAATGACAAATAGAGGTGTCGAGTATTTCCATTTTGTACATTTTAATTTGCTGTTTATTTATTTATTTAAGGACATGCATAACCTTTATGGTGCTCAGACTTTCTTCTTGTGTCTGGAAGATGCCAGTGGACACTCCTTTGGTGTATTCTTGATGAACAGCAATGCCATGGGTAAAAAAAAAACATGCTATTTCTGATTATGGTGATGATCAGGTAGCTCTCTTCATTCTCCTCCCATTTATTTATATCCTGCCTTTTCCATGGGATTTGAATTCTAGGGGAAAAAACTTAATTTCAGAAGTTAACAGATTTAGATAGAATTTTGTTGTTAACTACTGTCAAGTTGACTTATGGTAACCCTATCAATGAGAGAGCCCCTTCAAATATGAATACATGAGTAAAAACATACAGAAGTATTAAAATATAAGCAAAGAAAACTATATCAGTGAGAGAAATCTGAACAGATCTGTTAAACAAGTAAGAAATAAATATATTTAATACACTATTAAATATTATTTTCTTATGAATAGTCAATTCTCCAAAACATGAAGTGAATGGGAGAGCAGATCTAACCTCTCTAGGGGCAGTTCCAGACAGCGATAAAGTTTGCACTGACCCAGGTTTAAAAAACCCAGATTGGGGTGGACTGTAGTCTGCACACCAGCCTGGTAAACATGTTCTTTTGGGGCTGGGTGTCTAGATGCCCTCCCAGAACTTTCCTGGAGGACAGCGAGACACTCAGCAGCCCTCCCCAAACCCCCCAAACCCTTTAAAAATAAAATAACTTAAAGTGCTGCTGGAGCTTTCCTGGTGCTTAGGAATGATGCACCAGGAGAAGGGAGACAGGAGCGATTCCCCCCCCCTTCTCCTGGTGAGTCATTCCTAAGCACCAGGAGAGCACCGGCAGTAGGAAAATGCTGCCCCTGTAAGATATGTGTTTTAAATATGCTTTTTTTTGGGGGGGGGGGTTGAAGGGGTTGGTGCCCTCGCATTTTGATTCAGCCCCGAAAAATATGGGAGGGCTATCTCAGATGTCCAGGACTATTGAGGGGAAGTCCAGACAGTGTCCACAGTAGGTTTGACCTATGTCTTTCAAGAAGGATGGATCTAACCCACTATAAAATTATCTCTGCACAAATCAGGGTTTTCCTGCTTTGTGCTGAATACATTTGATTTTGCATGGAGCGTCGTTTGGACGTTCCCCCTCTCCCCCTCAAATAATTGGGAGGGTGTGCATTTTGTGCCCTGTCTAAATGGGCCCTAGGAAGGGATTTCCAGAGATCAGGAGCAGTCTCTGAGGCCTCTTCTGCACTGTCATATAATTCAATATCTAATTCCAGATTATACTATTTGGATTATATGACAGTGTAAACTCATATAATCCAGTTCAAAGCAGATAATTTGGAATCAGATATTGGATTATATGGCAGTCTAGATCCAGCATGAGGACCTTAATAGTGTTGTGATCTTTAACAAAGCCTCATGGTTTCTCCCTTTTTTCCTACTTCTTCTCTTTCTCTTCTTTTTGCATGCAATAAATCCACATACCAACTGCTATGAGTCACCAATATGCTATACACCTAGCATTTGGGTTTGTTTTTTTAAAAAAAGATTATATACTAAGTGAGCTATTTTCTTGTGAAAACCTTTTTGCTTTTTAGCAGCATTCAGTTGCTGTATATGCAATCCTACTGCTAAGAAGTGGTTTGCATGTGCACTAAAAAGCTGCTTCAGAGAACTGAGAAACCCTTCAGAGATACATCACATCCATCTAGGTAGGGCTACCTAATTTTTAAAACTGGAGATTGCTCACGTGCATATACTGGCCTATATCCCAGGATCTGATCCCAAATTATCTGCTTTGAACTAGATTATATGAGTCTACACTGTGATATAATCCAGTTCAAAGAAGATAATCTGGATTTTATATGGCAATGTAGAAGGGGCCTCAAAGTTAACCATTAAGCCCTTTTACACAGCCAATATCATTATGGCTCATACTGCAAAGGAATAACACAACATGTGCTTTGTGTCATGTGAATTTGTTACATATGAAATTCTAATTAGTATAAATCCAGCAATGATTCAAGACCATGGATAGCTTGGTCTTTTCAGGATGCTGTGTAATTCATCTCATGTACCAAGATACTGTTCTCTAGATCAAAGTAATTTTCTATAGGGATCAACAGAGACTCACATTATATAATGAAAAATAAAATGCATGCAGGTTTGTACTCATACATCTCTTTATACCAGCTGTGAACTTCTAGATTACTAGGACTCACATTGGTAGTAACATGCTTGGAAATTATAATGCAACAGCAGAAAAACCCCACAGGAATGATTTCTTTTTTCCACAATGTGAGTTGGCTGTGGTGAACTATGTTGAACATGCCCTTGTGTTTCACTAATATTAAGATATTTCTTGTGACAGATTTTGCTCTCCAACCTGCCCCAGCGGTTACATACAGAACAATTGGTGGAATTCTAGATTTCTACATATTATTGGGAAACACTCCAGAACAGGTTGTCCAAGAATATCTAGAGGTATGTTTTTGCTTTCAATATCTTGTTGATATAAATAACCCATGGCCCTGTTAACAATTAGTACTTCTATGTTACAATCTTATAGTACTAATGTTACTATGATCAAACAACAAGTTAACCATTCGTTTGATACACATATCTTTTATTTCAGTCTAGATACTTTGCAGGAAACGTTTTCATGTGTAGTAAATACTTTCAGTTCTTTTTTTTAAGATGAAAGGAAGCAATGAAGCATAGATGTGGAAACATTACAAATGATTTACTCATTGACTTTTCCTTTGCTTTTAAATCTTATACATTGCTTAGTTTTCCCTTTTAGTTATTCATCTTTAATTTAGTTTATTATTTATAATTAAAAATAATTTTTCATTCTTTAATGGTTCACAAGTCCAAATTAGGGAAGAACAGTCCTTATTGAGACAGACTCTTCCATTCCAAAAACCAGCCATTGTTTTTGTTCAGCCTTTGAGTTAATACAGACAGACTGATTTATCATGTACCAAAGCCCACATATACTTTCATGTTATTTTAAATGTGTATAAAATGCCTATTTGTACAGAGTTATTTTTATGTAAAATAAAATGTTATTTTATGTTATATGTAAACATGTTGGTTTTTACACTGGTGGTTTATAAACATAGAATACAATAATTTATTAAAATGAAATATCCCAAACACTGGCTAACTATTCCTTATCCAGAATTCCAAAATCTGACATACTTCAGAATCTTAAAATGTCCATATGATTGATTGAAATAATGATACCTTGGGTTTGTGATGGTTTATTGTACAAAAACTTTGTTTCATGCACAAAATTAGGAAATTAAAATATTGTGTATACAATTGTCTTCAGACTATGCATATAAGGTATATACGAAACATGCATGAATGTCATGTTTAGACCTAGATACTGTCCCCAAAATTTCTCATTCTATAGCCAAAATATAGTACACTTCTGATCCCAAACATTTTGAATAAGGATACTTAGCCTGTAGTTCAAAATAAGTTTTCTAGAGACCTCCTTGAATGGGGAGGGATTTTGAGATGTCCTGAGCCAACTTTTTAACAGGTCCAGATATTTACCTAGAGACAAATTGGTAGACACCGTAGCTGGTAAAGAAGTGAGTCATGCAATTCAGTCCAGTGGTTCTAGACAACACACTGGCAACAACATTGTTTTTAAAACAATAGGAGTGTCCAAACTATGTTTAAAGACAGTTTTATGTAGTACATATCTGCTTTTAGAAGTCCAGTTGACAAACTGAAATTGGGTAAGGACCCATAATGGTTGCCACTATCTCTTGAAAATCTAAGGATAAAGCCATAAAAAATGGGCATAGAAATTCTGCTTCATAGAGATGCCACCTTTTCCAGATAAGGCTGTAATTCCACTACTACATCATCGTGTCCCCAATTAATACCTCCAGTTTATCTAGGTCTGCTTTACATTACTTCATCATAATTCAGCCCAAAAGTACCACCAAATGCACAGCATCCACAAGATGGATTGATCTAAATGAGAAACTTAGTTAGACACTGTCCTAGCTTAAGATGATATGCCTGGAATAAAATTAAAATTGTAAGAATGTGGTTGTTCAGTACTATTTATTACTCCACAATGAAGCCAAAATATAGGCCTATAGTTCACAAGATTCAGATTCTTCATTCAAAACCAATTATAGTAGTTTTGGTGTTCTTAAAATGCCGGGAATGACACATTTAGGGGGAAATACACTCCATAGACAATAATTAGGTGTAATTTTCTGTGGAGCGATTATTTAGAGGCTACCATTTCTTTGGAAAGAATAATACCTCATGCCAAATTTAGAGGTTTACCTATACCTTTGACCTTCTCCCACATGTTTTATTTCTCTAAAAATAAGGTGAAGCAAAGTATAATAACTAATTAGTTTCTTTTTATGCAACAAACTTACAGCTGATAGGACTTCCATGGATGCCATCATATTGGAATCTTGGATTTCAGATCTCTCGCTGGGATTATGCTGATCTTGATGATGTAAAAGCCACAGTGGAAAGGAATAGGGCAGCTGGAATACCTTATGTAAGTATAGTGCAATATTTTAAATCTTTGTCTTCTTCCATTGTTACCTGATACAAAAAGAATTCCCATGGTGTTAAAAAAAGAAAATAGAAGAACAAGAAAACATTTTTTCTTAATCTAAAATCGAAAGATAGAAAAAATGGTGTACAGTGTTTTTTTTTAAAAAAAATAGATAGAAAAGTTGAGAAATGGAAAATTGAAAACCCTAACACCTCCTAATATGTCTCTGCTGTCTTCGTGATAATAATTTTAAAAATATGCTTTTTGACATAAATCTTCTTATCTCTGGTAAATTAACTTTCCAGGATCCCTTGGATATTAGTGTCACTAAATTCTCTATTTTTAATAGATAATTCTCTATTTTTAATTTTTAATTCTCTATTCCTACACCCCTGTACTATGGATTTTCCCTTAATGCTGTAAAAACACAATCTTTTCATTTTCTTTTCTTCTTTAAAATAGTTAATAAAAGGCTGAAATTCTTCATATATGGAAGGATCTGGTGCCTGTATAACCTAGTCAGTTTGTCCAATTCTGTCATGGCCAACATTTCTGTAATCCATACATCTTGGGTGGGAATTTCTTCTAGTTTTCAGTAGTAAGCATAAACAATCGTTGTTGCAGTTACCATTTATAAAAAAGTATCAGATTTTTTAATGGTGTTAGTATTAGAAATGCTCTAATACTACTGTAATTTTAAAGATGTTTCCAGTGTTCTTATGAATTATGATCCATTATTGTAACTTTAGGACATGTCCACCATATATGGCGAAAAGTTCCTCAATTTTGATGACATTTCCAACAAACATTTAAAAAAATCTTCCATCTTTGCTAATCTTTCTGGTGTTATGAACCATTTATACATCATCTTGCAGGAATTTTCTCTTATGACCTCATCACATGGGCTTTCAGCCCTGTCCTAGGACACTACTGAGAAGCAGCCAGGATGGAGCCTGCTGGAGCACATTACATGATGTAGGGTTTCTTCTGACAGGGCTCTCTGCCAGCTCCGAACATGCTGTGGCTTGGCAGTGTGCTAAGCAGCAGTTGTGATAACATGGGTCATCAAACCAGGATCAATCCAGGGATGGACAGATTTCAGTGTATGCTGGTAAAAGGGTGAGGCAGGGGGCCATGATTTACCCCATTGCCTCATGGATTTGCCACGTTGCCCCTTGCATGCCCTGTTGTTCCCCAGCTTAAGGAACTCCATGGAATGGGTCCTTAGTCTATAACATCTTATAAATTTAATCTTTGTAGAGTGAGTTATTGAAGGTAGAAATCTAGGGATAAAGCCAAAAAAAATTGGGTCTAGAAATACAGTTTAGGGTGGCTGGGTGGATATGAAATAGATGTGCATGAATGAAATATGGTAATAAGATTGGCTTATTACAATATCAATGGAGGTTGGCTGGAGTTTTCTTGAGCAGATTATCTCATACTAAATATGAATCCATGAACTATAATTGTGGGGACACTATCATTGAATTGATTTGTTCTATATTTGTATGCACAAGAATGTTTAATTGGATCCTACCATAGAAAAGCAATTCCCCATTCACTAGGGGCATGCATAGAATGGAGTGAAAATCAGAAATGAGGGCACATTCACCGGTATCACACTAGAGCTTAAATAATAGAGAAAGAGTATGCATCCCATCAGAAATCCTGTGGCTGCCTCCTGTAGAAATCTGGGGCTTGCAGTTTAGGGGAGGAGACCTTAAAATGCTCAGCCAGAGAGGTTTTGTGCCTCATTAAACTACAAGCCACAGAATTCTGCAGGAGGCAGCCATGAGATTCCAGATGGGATGCATACACTTTGCCTACTCTTTGGATTCCAGATATTGGTCTGCCAAGTGCTGTGATATCTTTCCTCTGATGTTTGGGCTTGATGTTTCCAGAATTTGTAGGTCCAATGATCATGTAGTTAATTAATCTATATAAATAATCATAGGATTAATATTAGCTGATAGGTAGCATATATAATGGCTGATCATGGGTTAATAGCATGAATGTATTATTTTAATAACCTGGGATGACTGAGATCATTTCAAATCTTGATTTTTTGAATGGTCGAAGGTGACAAATGGTGTTTTCTTTAACTGGAATTTAAATGCACTAGGCTGGCCTTTCCAGAATTATAATAAAAGTTTTCTAAAGACTTAAACTAAAAATGTGTAGAAAATAAAATTAAAGATTGTATTGTATAAGGAGATTCTCTTCGCTGGAGGTTGAAGAACTAAAATAAGATCCAGTACCAAATTTTGTTACACCTGGGAATCTTTAGTTCACTTATTGCAAAGAACAGCTGTCTATACTAAAAGTCAATTTTATCTGATAATGAAAAGGTATATTATTGCTACTATTAATGATGTTGGTATGTGGGAAACCAATTTCTATGGAAACTTAATGGAAGGTGATGCTTGTGATTTTTATTTTTATTTATTTATTTATTGCTTTTTAGAGTCCAGTTTTCATCAAACCCTTTAACTTTTTCATATATTAATGTGAAATTGCATAAAATATAGACATAGCACATGTTACCATGGTAATGGAAGATGAAGAAATAAATTATGCAACACACAGCAAATGTGGCTTTACATGCATGAAACTGCACAGTTAGAATGTATTTCAGAATTAATTTACCATTGTAAAGAAGGGGTGAGAATGATGTAGTAAAGCGGCCTTTATCACATATGTTCTCAAGATGGGATTGAGAGATCAGACCATTGAATATCATGGCTCCAATTGTTTGACTGTGGTTGAAACATTGAGAGTTGATTTTTTGCCGAAGTGCTCTTTCTTTTAGACTATTCTGTGTGTCACATTCATGAGTCATTTACACAGTGATATAAACTAGATTATGAAACCAGATTTACTGCTAATTGTAACCCTAACTAAAGACAATCCTAACTAGTATTAGTGCAGAAGTAATAGTTTCTTTTAGATATTAAGTTACACTGAAAAAAAACCCACTTTTCTCCTCTAAGTTTTTTTAATAAATAATTATTCTTCACAGTAAGCTAGGCTAATGTATAGCCTAGCTTACATTAGCCAAGGCCACAACATGTGTAGCTAAGGATGCTTCTATACTGTAAAATTAATGCAGTTTGACTCCACTATAACTGCTATGGTTCAATGCTCTTGATTCACACCAGTTGTAGTTTTAAAAGTTTTTAGCATTCTCTGCCAAGGAATGCTGGTGCCTCACCAAACTACAAATCCCAGGAATCCATAGCAGTTAAAGTGATCAAACTGACTTAATTCTAGAGCAGAGTTTCTCCTCCAGACATTTTGGACTTCAGCTCTCATAATTCCTAACAGCTGGTAAAATGGCTGGAATTTCTTGGGAGCTGAAGTTCAAAACACATGGAGGAGCACAGTTTGTGAACCAGCCAGTAACAGAGTATAGATACTAGGCCTGGGTAACAACGGAAAAATTTGTTTCTAAAATCGATTCGTTTTTTGGGGGTTTTTGCGTTTCGTTATTTAAAATAATTACAAAATTTTCCTTACGCCCCTTTCCTACCCTCCATGCCGCACTTTAGTTAGTATTGAGAGCCAGATTGGGTATTTGTTGCACTTTAAGATCTTTGCACTTTAGGAATTTGCCCAACGGCACGCAGTTGTATTGTTGACTGTATTGCACTTTAAGATTCTGCACTTTACGAACTTCTAACTGTTGTGGCTAAAACGCTCAGTATCATCGAGTTGATTATTATCCATGTGGTCCCCCATCCCCCTATTGGTGCTGTCCTTGCTATTAGTGACCAGTGGAAAGGGCAAGGGAGGAGGTGGGCTGGAGCCTGTGAACAATAATGAGGCGGGGAGGGGGGAGGAAGGGAAGCAAGGGAGTTGGCAAGGGCCAACAAATCAAACATCTAACGAAACAAGAACTAAGACCTTGATTTTGGATTGTGGCATGGAGGAGGAGAGGTGTTCCACTAGCCGAGGGGCCCCCATAGAGGTCGTGGTGGGGAGGGGGAGATGCGGAAAAAGGAGACCTCAAATTCGGCCTAATTCGGACCGCTTACCAACATTAATAACCCTAAATCGGTCTCCTAAGGTAAATTGGTGTAACCAGGTGAGCGGGCCCTCAGGATTGAAGGTGGTGCTGCTGAACGCCAGATCTGTCAACGGAAAAACGACCTTCATCCAGGATTTGATCCTGGATGAGCGGGCAGATCTGGCGTGCATTACGGAGACCTGGTTGGATGAAGCTGGGGGGGTGAATCTGACCCAGCTTTGTCCTCCAGGGTTCTCTGTACAGCACCAACCGAGATCCGGAGGACGGGGAGGCGGGGTTGCAGTGGTCTATAGAGATTCCATCCATCTGACCAGGAGCCCCATCCCGCAGACCACAAATTTTGAATGTGTCCACCTAAGGGTGGGTGACCGGGACAGAATAGGGATTCTGCTAGTGTACCGTCCACCTCGCTGCACTACAGTCTCCCTACCTGAGCTAGCGGGGCTGGTCTCGAGCCTGGCGTTGGAGTCTCAACGGCTTTTGGTGCTGGGAGACTTCAATATCCACGCCGAGGCGACCCTCACAGGAGCGGCTCAGGACTTCATGTCTGCCATGGCAACCATGGGGCTGTCCCAACAAATATCTAAAATGGATTATATGCCCGTGTAGAAGGGGCCATAGTATAATATGCTAGTGAGTCTGCTAAATGAAAGATGGTAAGGAGAAGGAGAAGAGCATGACATAAAGTAAAAAGGGTGAAGAAAGGGAGTAATCTCTGATGTCTTGTAAAATTTGAAGGAGGACCAATGAGGGGAGGCTCAACCTTAAATAGCCTGCCGCTAAATTCCCCTTCCCTTCAGCACCATAGGCTTTGCCTGCTGGCTGCAGGTGTGGCAAGTATGATTAATAAATTGAAATATTTATGCTAGTGCCAGTGTGGATGAAAATAATATTTAATCAGTATGTCTTAATGTACAGTATATGTGAGCAGCACTTGGTGCCTTGTTTGGTTTTGTCAAATATCTTCTTATAAGGTGCACTATTTTGTTGAAATTCTTTTACTCTATGGGAGGACAGTGCTTTTAAAAAGAACCCAATATGAATAAAAGTAGAACAATGTGGAAGGTTGAATGCTTTTAATATGCAGATTGCTCTTATTTTTCCTTTAGGATATTCAATACACTGATATTGACTACATGGAAGATGCCAAAGCTTTTACCTATGACAAAATAAAATTTGCAGGCCTTCCTGAGTTTGCTCAAGACCTTCATGACCATGGACAGAAATACATCATAATATTGGTAATTCCAATGCAGTGTAATGATTTTTTATACTGAAGAGGAAAACATAGAAATTTTGTTTTACCTCATTGTGCTTTCAATTACCAAGTAGTTTTGCACTTTACTGTTACAAATATTTAATGTGTTTATTTACTAGATGTGGTGATAAGACCAAAAATCAGGATGGTCTCATGAACCAAATCCAAGACATTTAGAGAACAGATAGTTTTTTGGGATTGCCTGTCATAAATCATATATCCTGTAATCATTATATCCCTACCATCTACCTTTTTTTGTGTGTCAGGAGCAACTTGGGAAACTGCAAGTAGCTTCTTGTGTGAGAGAATTGGCCATCTGCAAGGATGTTGCCCAGGGGATGCCTGCATGTTTGATGTTTTACCATCCTTATGGAAGGCTTCTCTCATTTCTCTGCATGGGGACCTGGAGCTGACAGAGGGAGCTCAACCTGCGCTCCCCAGATTTGAACCACTGAGCTATCGGTCAACAGTCCTGCCGGCACAAGCGTTTAAACCATTGCACCACTAGGGGCTTGCACCATCTACTATCTCTACACATACACACACATGCAGAGTGAGACACACATGCTGGGCCACAGGATGCTATATGCTTACAAAGCAGTAGTTGGGATGTTTTGATGCCCAGATTTTGTTGCAACGGCCACCCTTCTGAGTTACCATAAGCAACAGTAAGTAGATCAATGGAAGTTATAGGGGCCATCCAGACATGCCCTAAAAGGTGTACCTTCCCGCTTCTCCAAGTGGGGCGCCCAGATGATGCCCCCAAAAACACGAATTTCCGCAATTTCACAGAAGAGTTCTTTCACATTTTGTTCCATATCTTGGCTCAACAGGGGCTACAGTTTTTATTTTTTATTTTTAATTAAAGCTTGCAATCTGGTCTTGATGATGGTCCAAAGTGCACTCTAAGAAACCCTAAAATCTGAGAAAGCAGCCAAACTGTGGGAATGGAAACCTTGTATACATTAGGCCAGCCACTCATTAAGCTCAGCATGTTGATCTGAATCCTATTGTTAGTTACAAAGTGAACAGAATGATTGAACTAATGGAAAGTACATAAGTGTTGATTTTCCATTCAGTGCTCTTGTTTGCAGTGCTCTGTGAATTGAGGGCTAATAGCACCTTTAGATCTCAATTCACAGTGGCCAGGTGCTTTAAAACACTCTAAGCAGGGTATGAATACAAGAACCTTCTCTCACGTTTTCCATCAACTTGTATTTAAATGCATATTGTTTCTGATACTGGAAGTAATAACTTGACTCCAATTAGACAGTTATAGATTTATGTCCCATGGCAACCTTATCTTGACCACTTCTTGAACAATAGCAACATGTGCTATAGAGCAAATATGCAATAGACCAAGGCCGTTGCTACATTGTCATATAAAATCCAGATTATCTGCTTTGAACTGGATTATATGGCAGTGTAGACTCATATAATTCAGTTCAAAGCAGATAATCTGGATTATCTGCTTTGATAATCTGGGTTATCTGATTTGATAATCTGGATTATCTGATTTGATAATCTGGATTATATGGCAGTGTCGAAGGGGCCCTAGGCAGCTGAGTTCACAGATTACTCATTTTGCCTCTGATCTCTGTAGTCTTATGCTATCTGTTATTGCGATGCACCTTTAAATTGGTTCTGACTTACGTCAACTCTATTTGTGAACTCTATAAGATGACCCCATTATAGAGATTTCTTCAGAGAGAGGGGTGCCATCACATTCCTTTGAGGCTGAGAGAGTGTGACTTGCCCAACATCACCCTGAGGGTTTCCATGGTGAAATCCCAGCCTCCTGGAATCCTAGTCCAATATTCAAACCACTAGACATGCAAACTCTTGGGCATAGTGTGTTTATTGTTTATCCTGAAATTTTCCATAGCAGTGTGTTTTATTATTGTCCTTATTTGTCATTAAGACAAGATATTAAGATGATTATCCAGTTGCATAATTCAGTAAAGACTGGTAAAGAATAACATTGTCTGTTCTATTTTTTTTTTTAGGACCCAGCCATTTCTATTCATGATCTCCGCAACAATACACCCTATGAGGCCTATAGAAGGGGCAATGAGATGAAAGTGTGGATCAATGAGTCAGATGGAATAAAGCCTCTCATTGGAGAGGTAAGTATTAGCTAATCTTTCTGGGAGACAGAGGACAGCTACGAGAAAGCTTTCTCCATGTTCCAGCAGCTCTACCTATGACACAGAGAAGGACTTCCCCAAAACATTTCAAAACACAGATACATTTTTAAATCTTCCAAAGAGTCCATTGATCTCAAGGGCAAACATTGTTAGCCATTAACTACTAGAATGACCTTTTAAAAATGGATGAACATGAGTACAAATGGTTTCAGTGCATTTTTGACAAATGTTCACATTTGGAGGTTTTTATACAAAAAATGATTGTGCCAAATACCTTAGCATTGATACTTTTTTTTTGCACTGAACAAGATTTTTTTTTTAAAAAAAAAAAAAACTATGGAGAAGAGGGGAGAGGGGGGCATTTCTTTTATAGATACCTAAAATGCAAAAACATTTTACAGTAATTGGCCATTTTCTCAGCAGTATGCCTTGATTTCCTTTCTTTTCAAATATGAGTTAATAATTTGTACATTCCTCTTCTGCATGTAGGGCGGTCAGAGAGGGAACTGCCTTAAATCCTGCTCTTGGAGAAAGACAACATATACATTATTAAATTAAACAATTAATTAAATAAAAATAAAATTAAAACCAAGCTTCAACACTAGCCTTTTTGAGCAAATTGCCAGATAAGATTTTCTCTACCCCCCAAAAAACAGTTTGTGAGCAAAGAAGTGAGAAGGGACCATAGTTTCTTGCACTAGTTTAATGAACTTCATTCTGTTTTTGTTGTGTGTTTTAGGTTCACTTTATTGTTTTAGAAAAGTAAGATAGAAATATTTGCATCATGAATTTTCAAAAGTGATTAATATGAAATAAAAAGAAATGGAGTTAATTTCATGTGCTTCAGTAAAAGAGCTCTATGCTGCTTTCCATACTTCTGGAAATATTGAAAGAGGTAGTTACAAGAAATAAGAAAAAAAGTTATTAAAATAGTAGGATACAATTATTTGTGCGGGATGTGTTTGTTACCAAAATCAGCTATCTGCCACTGGGGGCAGTGTAGGGCCATTGCTTGGCACCCATTGCTACTTTGAAAGCCAGGAAAAACATGGCCAATTTGAAGGCAATGATAGAGGTTTATTCACCTGGCCAGGTGGATGACAGAACAGCATAACTGCCAAAAGAACTGACAAAACTCATACAGAAAAGTTAAGTACATTTTATAAAGTTTGGTAGATATTCAACTCTCATTCCCTCCCCTGGGTGATCAGTAGACATATCTCCTAGAATCCTCCTTCTCATTGTCTGAGACTTTCTTCACATCCAAGGCAGAGAAAAAGAGAGAACAGCTGGGATCCAGCCAAGCTCTAAAAATATGTTATAAATTTATAATTGTTATTATTAGTTGAGGAGGGTCAATTTCTTGACAACAAGTAGGATTTATTGTTTATATGTATCAGTGCTGGGATACACACATATTTTGATACATGGCAATTTTCCGTACAAGTTGTTAGAAAGTGTCTTATGATTAAGGGGTTTAAAATGGTGTTTCTGTTTTAAAAGCACACATGTGAACATTCCATGATAGTAAGAAAAATGAAAGACCATATTATTGTTGATTGAAAGGAAGCCATGTCTCTGGGTTTACAAGCACTGAGCAAAGCTATTGATAACAGACTCATGGAGGTCATAGAATCACCATAAATGAAAGGTGGTTTGACATTTAAGAACAACATACAGTTTGAGACTCCCTGATCTGAAATGTTTGGGAGCATAAGGGGTTTTTTTTATTTCTTTATTTTGGAATATTTGTACTTGCGTGTACAAAGTTTATATGCAAATATAGTCATGGGGTCATATTTCCAGTGCCCACCGAGTTTTTCCTTAAGGAGCCCTGAAAGGAGAAAATCAATCCAACTAAATAAAAATAATGTAGTTTAGTAGTTGACATATGAATATAGTTTTATATTTCTTTTCCTTTTTCTCCATTTGGAAGACAAACCACTAATTTTTGTTCTTATTGGAAAACATCTGTGCTGGTTCCATGTAATGACCAAAAAAAATTCCATTACATTTTTGTCTTCTCCTTCAATGCATTTTATGGACTGATTTATTGATTGTTTCTCTCTCGTGTTCTCTCTTTTGTCACCTGCAGGTGTGGCCAGGAATAAGTGTCTATCCTGATTTTTCCAATCCCGATACTGTTACATGGTGGTCTAATGAGTGCAAAACTTTTCATGAGACTATTCAGTTTGATGGATTGTGGATTGTAAGTCCTACATATTTTAATTCAAAAGCGTACTTTCTGGGTAACCAGGGCTGAGTAAAATTTTACTCAGCCAACTAGGACTGAGTAAAATTGCTTTGGGGGAAATATATTTTCCATAACAAATAGAACAGTCTGCTGGAAACTTAAAGGCTATTTGTTTTATTAGAGATAGGATCTTGTGCACCCCATCCCATGCCATCAGATGATGTTGTGCTCATTGCGAAGAACAATATAAGTCATAAACTTTTTGATCTTGATATGTGAAAATATTATTTACAACAACTTTGTATTCTAATTTTTCTTTGTATTTTTTTTCAATGTACATTTTTAAGCCTAAGTACTAAATTCATACTACAAATTGTTTCCAAGCCTGTTGTGTGTTCTGGCAAATGTGGGTGTAGTTCATCTGTAATAGAGAAAGAAACCTGCCTTTATCCAGGTTGAGAGGGGCGGTATATAAATATGGTAAATAAATAAATAAATAAATAAATAAATAAATAAATAAATAATGTGTAAATTCCTACTAGTGCTCAAACTGGACCACAGCAGTGAGAAAAGAAAACAATGATAGTGGGATTAAACTCATAATGCAAAAGAGCAATAATGCTCAGTGGCATGGTTTGATACAGCAGAGATGTGGGTCTGAGACCCTGGAACTGAAACTGACAAGACCATTTTCTCATTGTTTGATGATTTCCCTGCTTTCAGTTAGATATTTTCTGAGTGATTTGCAACAAGAAGTGAAGATTCTTTTGGCCAGCATGGAAGGAGAAAGGGACTAAAAGGATGAATGTCCTTTTTTCATGGAAGATAGTGGGGAAGAAAACATAAATCTTGTGTTGAACACCTTGGCACCAGTTTTGTGCCTCTTTAGATCCTGAAAACTTTAGACTACATTTGGATGTGGGAGAAAGTGTGCCTATCTCCTACTGAAAGTGTTCTAATTTTCTCTATTAATTAACACATTTTACAAATCCCTTTCTCCCTAGGATATGAATGAAGTATCCAATTTTGTTAAAGGGTCCACAACTGGCTGTGCACAAAACAACTTGAACTATCCACCATTTACTCCAAGTATGTTCTTGAGTTAAAATCCATAGCTATTCAGTTTGTGAGATTGTTAAGGAAAGCAACATACTGTATATAATAGTTTATAACCTTATTTTTTGGACAAGATGGAAATCAGACATGTAGTTATTTCCAAAATCATAAAGATAACTTTTCTAAACTTTAGTTGTGTTGCTCTAAATCAGGGGTCCACAAACTTTTTAAACAGAGGGCCAGGTCACAGTCCCTCAAACTGTTGGAGGGCCAGATTATAATTTGAAAAAAAAATAGTGAATTCATTTGCACACTGCACATATATTATTTGTAGTGCAAAAAACTTAAAACAATACAATAATTAAAATGAAGAACAATTTTAACAAATATAAACTTATTAGTATTTCAATGGGAAGTGTGGGCCTGCTTTTGGCTGATGAGATAGGATTGTTGTTGTTGTGTGCTTTCAAGTCATTTCAGACTTAGGTTGACCCTGAGCGAGGGCCGGGTAAATGACCTTGGAGGGCCGTATCCGGCCCTCGGGCCTTAGTTTGAGGACCCCTGCTCTAAACCTTCATCCAAGCCATTAATAAAGATGTTGAACAGTCTGTTTTCGGCCAACTCTATGGACTGTATTCATTCATTCATTTATTTAAAATTTTTATATCCCAATCTTCCCACCTCTGTAGAGGGACTCAGACCGGCTTACAGCAAAGATTCAATGCTACTAATACAAACTAAAACATCAAACAACAACACAAGTTTAAAATACATATAGAATAAATACTAGGGCTGGGCGGTTTAGTTTCGTAATTTCGTAATTCGTTAAAAATTTGTTATTTTTTTTATAACAAAGCGATAACGAACCATTCAGGAGCAACTAAAAAACGAAACGAATTTTTTAATTTGTTTCGTAATTGTTTCGAATTTGTTTTGTATTCGTTTCGTTATCGTTTCGAAATCGTTTCGTTATTATTTCCGCATGTCTGGGGCAAGTTTTATAGTTGTTGTTTGTTTAATCAGTGAAAAAAAATTATAAATATCACACCAACAGTCAACAACAGAGGGAGAGGGAAGCTTCAGAAGTTCCCCCTGTCCCATTTGGAGGTTTTTTAGCGTATTGTGCGGTCGCGTCCGCCATTAACGAATCGTTATTGTTTCGAAATCGATTCGTTATTGTTTCGTATTTTTTTTAACATTTACGAAATTTCGTAAATATCGAACTTTTTAAAAGAAAAAATTCGGAATTCTTTTTAAAATCGCAAAAACCCCCAAAACGCAAAAACCCCCAAAAAACGAATCGATTTTAGAATCAAATTTTTCCGTTGTTACCCAGGCCTAATTACTAGCATTGCTGCTGCCTCAGGAAACATTTATCAGTAGCAAAGGGACGCTCTTTAGCTGGTTGTACATGGAATGTGCACAACTTGGATTTTGGGCATTTTATGAAATAGCCTTAAGGAACTGGCAAAATAGCTTCTGCATAGTGCTGGGCTTACAAAAAACTTCAATAGTGTTTCTCAACCTGGGGGGGTCACAAGGAAGTTTCATCGTTAAAAATTCGTTATTTTTTTTAATAACGAAGCGATATTGAACCATTCAGGAGCAACTAAAAATCGAAACGAATTTTTCAGTTCATTTTGTAATTGTTTCGTAATTGTTTCGAAATCATTTCGAAATCGTTTCGAAATCGTTTTGTTATTAGTTCCGCATGTCTGGTGCAAGTTTTATAGTTGTTGTTTGTTTTATCAGTGAAAAAAAATATAATTATCACACCAACAGTCAACAACAGAGGGAGAGGGAAGCTTCAGAAGTTCCCCCTGTCCCATTTGGAGGTTTTTTAGCGTATTGCGTCCACCATTAACGAATCGATTCGTTATTAGCGTATTGCGCAATCGCGTCCGCCATTAACGAATCAATTCGAAATTTACGAAATTTCGTAAATAACGAAATTTTTTAAAAGAAAAATTCGGAATTCTTTTAAAAAACGAAACGCAATGGACCCCCTAAAAACGAAACGAGTTTAGAAACAAATTTTTCCGTTGTTACCCAGCCCTACTTCCTGAAGGACAAGAGGGAGGGGACAGATATGATCTCACTCAGGAGAAAGTTCCATAGCTGGGGGGCCACCACAGAGAAGGCTCTGTTTCTCGTCCCCACCAGACACACTTGTGAAGGTGGCGGGACTGCAAGCAGGGCCTCTCTGGGAGATCTTAGCATCCTTGATAGTTCATAGGGGATAGATAGATGACCAAAAACACTGTAAAAAACCAGAACTGCCAACTACCTGGAAGCATCCAGAAATCAATTTCTAATTTTGAAAAAAAAAGTTGGTGCTTTCTTTTTCCTTCTTTCCTCCTCCTTCTCTCTTCTTCTTTTGAAATGTAAAACATTAGAGTGGGGAGCTGCAACCTATTTTAAAAAGGGGGTTGGCCTCAGAAAAGGGCATCGCTGAAGTCTGGAGAGTTTGAGAACTATCTGATGTGCAGAATATACCCAGAATTATTTATTGCATTTCTATACCACTTTTTTCACCCCTGGGGGGACTCAAAGTGGTGTACAAAGTGGTGAAATGTTGTCCATTCATGCTCCCCACTCTGCATCACATTGATTCTCTCTTTCTGGCTGATACTGAACATGACTCCTCAGAAATAATTTACAACTATGAAACTGTACAGACTGTTCAAATTTGGTAGTTCAAACTGTTATAATGTGAAATACATTCTTTTAGGGTTTTTCCTGCTACATTCACTCAATCAAGGTTCACCCCCATGGTCGGAATTCCATCTCTATTCAGACTTTATTTATTTAAAGTATTTATATTCCACCCTTCTCACCCCGAAGGGGACTCAGGGCAGAGCACAACATATTAACGGCAAACATTCACTGCCGAAACATATTAGACCATACACATACAAAAGCATTAAAATCACTTATCTTGACGTTAAAATCCACTAGTTAAAACTGTCTTAACAACCATATCAAATTTGGTTGGCACATTAAGGGTTCCTATCGCTGCTTCATTGCACAGTCCCAAAGGCTCGGTCCCACAGCCACATTTTTATCATCCTTCAAAAGGGCAAGAGGGAGGGGGCTGACCTGATCTCATTAGGAAGGGAGTTCCATATCCAAAGGGCAATTACTGAGAAGACCCTGTCTCTCATCCCCGCCAAACGCACCTGTGATGGTGGTGGGACCGAGAGCAGGGCCTCCCCAGAAGATCTTAATCTCCGCGGTGGTTCATAGGGGGAGATGCGTTTGGATGTTTAACTTCATTTTAGTGGAATTTCTTTTAAGTACTATTCTTTTTTCTCTCCCTTTCTCATCATTTTCCTTTAGTCTCTTTTTCTTCCCATTTCTTACATCTTTTGGGGTCCTGTCAGATCCTTCTTGTACATGTCTAGTACAGTTTAGGCTATATAACAGGCATGGGAAAACTTTGGTCATCCAGGTGTTTTCGACTTTAACTCTAAAATTCCTAACAGCCGCTAAGCTAGCTGGGATTTTGAGGAATTGAAGTCCAACACACCTGGAAGGCCAAAGTTTACCCATGCCTGCTATATAAGGACTGATATTTAGATAATGTCTACATTATTGTAATATAGAAAACAGTACAATCTGTGATTCCACAGGACCAGTACCTGCCATTTTATTTATCCACTTCAAACAAAATATGGCCTCTGGAAAAAAATCGATGTCATTTAGTGTGAATCTGGATACATCTACACTGTGAATTCATGCAATTTGAAACCATTTTAACAGCCATGACTCAATGCTACAGAGCTGTAATAGTTATAATGTATTGTCAAAGGCTTTCATGGCCAGAATCACTGGGTTTTTGGAGGTTTTTGGGCTATATGGCCATTTTTTTTGTATCAGGAGTGACTTGAGAAACTGCAATTCGCTTCTGGTGTGAGAGACTTAGCCATCTGCAAGGACATTGCCCAGGGGATGGCCGGATGTTTTTGATGTTTTACCATCATTGTGGGAGGCTTCTCTCATTTCTCCTCATGGGGAGCTGGAGCTGACAGAGGGAGCTCATCCATCCTCTCCATGGATTTGAACCTGCAACCTGTCGGTCTTCAGTCCTGCCTGCACAGGGGTTTAACCCATTGTGCCACCGGGAACTCCTCACAACCTCTGAGGATGCCTGACATAGATGCAGGCAAAACATCAGGAGAGATGCTTCTAGAACATGACCATATAGCCCGAAAAAACCTACAACTATCCTGTAATAGTTATAGTTTTACAGCCTTCTCTGTTTAAAATACCAAGATTTCATAAAACTGAGCCATGACAGTTAAAGTGGTGTCAAACTACACTAATTTGATTTAGGGTATTCTTGGGCCAGGAGTTCTTCACTTCAACAGAGTTCACTATTACCCATGGTTTTGAGTGTCCACATTACGTGAACACAGGGCCATGCTGTTTCTCAACTACTGAGACTGTGGTCCTTTCACTGGGCAAAATGTGAAAGGAATTCATGAAAGAAATGGATTCCCTGAGCATTTTGCAACCAGACAGGGGTTTACAACCCCACCTGTCTCTATGCCTGGACGATGGTGATGGCAGCTCTTTGATTCTTCCCCTCAAATGAGCTCTGAGATAATAAAAGGACTAAACCCTTGACATTCACCACTCTATTCAGAGATGGGGACCATTCCTTTATACTAGTAAAGGTACAGTACTTGCCAATTGTGTATTAATTTTGTATTAGATTAGGTTATTAACTGTTTTATATTGGTGTTTGAATTCTGCTGTGTTCTGTGTCTTGTGAACTGCTGTGAGTCGCCTTCGGGCTGAGAACAGCGGTATAGAAGCAAAGTAAGTAAATAAATAAATAAATAAGCATTTGGGGGTTGATTTTGACTGATATTTCTAGACTTATACAAGAATATGTACAGTATCTGTGTTTCTGTAAAACTGTTCTTTCCTTAAGTATAAAACCATTATCCTGAGACTTTGTCTACCAAAGCATTTGTTTTTTCTTGGGTGGAATTTCTCCTCTCTTCATTCCCACAGAAATTCTTGATGGTGTCATGTACTCAAAAACACTTTGTATGGATGCAGTGCAGAAGGCAGGCAAAGAGTATGATGTACACAGCCTCTATGGATTTTTCATGAGTACTGCTACTGACCAGTAAGGAATTCTTCCTTTCTTTCTAAATTAATTTTTGCTACTTTGCATGTAACAAGCTTTGGGGAACAAAGTGTTTGACCAGTGAAATGTCAGTTTAAAATTATGTGATCCTTTTTGGGTGGGGTGGCGGGAAGGAAATCAAATTGTTTGGAAGTTTTAATTAAAGATGTAATACTGTTTCCTACATGAATATTCAGATGCCTCATAGCTTAGAAATATGCCATATATTAGGGTAAAGGAGGGTTGTTTATGTCCTCCAAATAGCTGCAGACTGTGTTTTAATGTTCATTGCCAAATCCAGCTGTTGCAAAGAAAAATAATCTGAAGAAAACACTCCATCTCTTCACCTGCCATTTTTTCCTTCTCAGTCATGAAGCTTTCATTTTTGTCACTACTCCTCTTGATAAATTTTCTTGCTGTTTATATACATATCTTCATGTTTTTTTTAATGTTCTCAATGAGTAGTTGATAATGGGACAAGAAGTCATAGAGTGTATCTATGCTGTCAAATTTGTGTAGTTTGATACCATTTTAAACTACTGTGGTTTAATGTGAAATCATGGGAGTTATTGTTTTACCAGCCTTCTCTGCCAAAAAATGCTGGTATCTCATTGAACTACAAATCCCAGGCTTCCATAGCATTGAGCCTTGGCAGTTAAAGTGGTATCAAAGTGCATTAATTCTGCAGTGTAGTTGTAGCCATAGACAAATATGGCCTATTGAAGGTTGTCCAATTGCACTTGTACTAGAATCTGCAGCATATTTAACATTGAAACACTTAATGTACTCAACACTAGTCTTGTTTCCCTGTAAAATGTATGTCGTAATCATCATCTTTTTCCTAGTCAAGCTTTCTTTAACATTACAAAGTGTAAACAATAGAAATTTTTTATTTCCTTTTCCCTTCTGTGTGTCTGTGTTTAACATCCGATCAGCTGTTCGGGCTTGACAGACAGGCACGTACTCGGGAGGAGGTGAAGAGAAGGAAAACACATTTTCCATGCCTGCAGGGATACACAGGCATGGACAGGTGCATGTTTTTTCAGGAGGAATCGAGTTTAAAGGGCATCTTTTAAAGATGTCTTTTCCAGCCCTTAATCTGATTCCTCCTGAATCCTCCTACATTTTAGCTGAATTAGACATCCCCCTACCTCGTTTTTAACCTGATTTAACCTGGATTGTAATGCATGCTTAAAAGGGCCCTAGAAGGGAATTACTACTATAGGAAAGAAATCTGGGTACTGTCCTTAAACACAGTGCTTAACTCAGCATGGAAATGTTTGTTCTAATATCATATATATTTTCTTTTAGAGCTCTTCAAACTGTTTTCCCTGGCAAGAGAAGCTTACTTCTTTCTCGATCTACTTTTGCTGGATCTGGAAAATTCACAGGACACTGGCTGGGTGATAATGATGCCACCTGGAATAATATGAAGTGGGCCATACCAGGAATGTTGGAATTTAATCTTTTTGGCTACCCTTATGTGAGTCATATGTATTCTAATAATAACGTGTAGTTGAATTGTCAGCTATGCTCATAAACAACATACTGTTAATTTGGCTTTGATCCATATCTTACATTACTGTTTGATGTGATGATATAACTATTAGATGGTCTCTCCCCCCACCCCCCACCCCCGCCAATTGTAATTCCATTTTCTGATTCTTTCTTTCGGATGCATCTCCTTAGCGGTACAGCACTTGTTTGTAGGAATGCACTGCATCCTAAAGGCCAGGCTAATAAAACTTATGATCCACTAAGCCAGTTATGTCACTAATTTGAAAATGCATTACCATAAAATGGGGTAGGACATTAGTGGTTAGGATCATCTGATGGGACAGTAGCCAATGGAGACAAAACCAGCAAGTGCTTTGATGAATGAGACCAAAAGCTCCATAGCACCAATAGAACAAATAAATCTTTGGTAGCAGTCATGAGAAAACATAGCTGCTGATTTTGAGTGTCCTAGGTCATAGGCAAAATAAAACGAGCTCACTTTGCAACCACTGCAACTAATTCATATTGCTGTTTTTGAAGCAGAAGCACTTCTTCCATCTGATAATCTGACACATTGGGGAATCACAATTTACTATGAAGCTTCCAAAAAGTTCCAGAGATGCTTCAGTGTCCACACATCAAACAGATCCACCTGTGCATAACAGGAGGGAAGCAACTCCCCAGTAGATGCTTGCTGGCAATATCACTTTTCCTGTTGTGATCTTTTAAAAAAGAGTCATTACTAGCAAGGATTCAGCTGTAGAGCTACTTATTGACTGGAGAAACAGCAGCAGTGACCCATGTGCATTTAGCCCGGCTGGGTGGAATAGAAAAGGGCTCCAGGACTATTCCATGCTGTATCTGGGGCAACTCCAGACCACAAGTCTCCAGATTACTTCAGTTGGTGTATTTTCAAATGCCTGGCTCAAAAATGAGAGGAAGTTCTTTGAGGTAAAGTCACTTAGGGTAGAGTAGCTTAGAAAATGGTCCATGTCACAAAACTGGCCATTCACTAAGATAGTCAAAGGTCTTTTGCTCTGAAGGCTCTGCCTCTCCCTATTTAGAAATAGGCCACTTAGTCCTAGCAACTGCCTCCTCCCATGGCAACCACTTCATGATACATAAAAAAAATTCCTGATCTATATTATTATAGCTCTATTGCAAACCTGAAATGCCATTTAGACACTTATCTAATGTGTGTATAATTTTTAGATTGGAGCAGATATTTGTGGCTTTCTCCTAAATGTCTCTGAAGAACTTTGTAGACGGTGGTTACAAGTTGGAGCATTTTACCCATTTTCAAGGAATCACAATAGTGAAAAAAATGATGTAAGTTTCTTTTAAAAGCAGGTCACTTTTTTTACTCTTTTGAATTTGTTTCCCCCTGCTTTTCAATAATAATTTGATAATTCACTTTCAGCCTAAGGATCCTGCATATTTTGGGCAAGACTCTCTCTTGGTGAATTCAACCAAACATTATCTAAACATACGTTACACCTTGTTACCATATCTCTACACCCTCTTTTATAAAGCACATGCCCATGGAGAGACAGTTGTGAGACCTGTTCTACATGAGTAAGTAGACAGTTTTGTTTTTAAGAAAATATTTTCTATTTCTTGTATTTATAATCAGCAATAAAAGACAATGCTTTTCTCAAAATCCATTGAATATTATTATAATTTAATCCCTAATACTAAATCCAAGTATTTGTGTCAGTATTAACATTGATCATAATGCTAAAATCTTTAGATGCTTCAATAGAGAGGGTAGAAGACTTCTCTAGGTTTAAACTCTGTAAGAGATTAAGGTGGTGATGGTGATAAATTAACTCTCTCTTCTACAGAAATCCAACATTCAAAAAATAAGGACAAGTGAATACAGGTTGAGCATCCCTTATTTGGAGTCCAAAATAATCCAAAATGGGTGACTGAGATAGTGATATCTTTGCTTTCTGGTGGTTCAATGTATATATTGCTTCTTGCACAAAATTATCAAATACGTTGTATAAAATTACCTTTAGGTTATGTATATAAGTTACATATAAAATGTAAATTATTTTTTCTTAGAAGTGGAAAAATTATTTCATGCTAAGGACCTTGTCACATTGATGAGGGGCAGCAGGGCAATCCCAGCACCCAGCCTCACTCTTGCTGATGACTTCCCATCACACACAGGGAAGTGTCGCCATGTGGCTTCTCCCAACGCTGGCTCTGTTGTTCCTTGTGGAACACAGGAAGTCTCCTGTGTTCTGGGCGAAGTGCCATATGATATTTGTGCTACAGTTGATCTATGGAGCCCCGCTGAAAGTGAGTGTGCATCATGTAATGACTGGCATGACACTCTGTGGATCAACTGTGCTGTCATAGGACACTTGCGAAGGCATGTGTGATGAAGTCATAAGTGAGGTTTTGTAAAATGAAAATGGCCTCATTTTTGGCCTATGATATCTTTAAAAAGCACTTATAATTTCATTTCTTAATATCATTTCCCTTTCTTTTTAAAGTTAAAGATTTATTTAGTGTACGTACAAACTTTATTATGGTCCATGGACCTGCATATGTTAAATAGACAACATACAGAAGTTAACAGATCACTCATATCAGGGAAAATATACTATACAGGCACATACTACACAGTGTCAGGTAATACCCTGGTCAGAGACTGGGCTCTTTCTCAGCCTTGCTTCCACTGCAAAAAAACTTTGGCACCATGAGGGTCACCCCATGGTGCTTGTCCTCCAAAAGTTATCTGACCTTCCCTTGCAGGGAATGGTTAGACTATCGGGTCAGGATTGGATGTAGGAGTTGGCCTCGTTGAGCTGAGTATTTACTGTACTTATACCCCACTTTTCTCACCCACGAAGGGGGACTCAGGGCAGATTACAAACTATGGCAATCACTCAATGCCAGATTCAAACAATAATAGTAAAACACAATATTATAAAACTGGAAAAACATATTATAGTAAAATAAAAGGAATATCCGGGCAGGGTGGACACCACGATCACACCTCTGCCCTTGGATATATCGGAGATCAAAGGCTGATCCTAAGTGACCAAATCACTTGGTAGTATTTGCTGCCACCACCTCAGAAAATGCAGGCCTGAGGAACCAAAAGGGTGTGAATGTATTTTAGGTAAAGGGTGTTTGAGCTCTTGGGCTTCTATGGCTTCCCCCCTAGCTGACTGGAGTGTAAAAATGTGTTGAAAGAATGAGTACTGAGGCAACGAATGGATTGAGGCATACACCAGTTAAAAGTAAACTAATAAAGAGTTTATTTTAAACTTGATATTAACAACAACTCATTGGAAATGAGTGGCACATAAAGCGTAATTCAGTTACATAGGCTTAGCTGTTTAGACAGTTTTCCCTAAGAATGTAGCTTTGGGTTTCTGTGAGTCTTTTTTAACTATACAGTTCAACTTCCTTTTGAAACAGTATATCACTGAGAACAGACTCTCCTGTCTCACAGAGTAATTAGTCCTCAA